ATGTGTATGCAAGATGCTCTGGCCTTTATATGGCTTGAAACAAGCTGGACGATGTTGGAGTGCCAAGTTTACTGACATGCTAAAGAAACATGGCATGATCTAGAGTAAATCTGACAACTGCCTATTCATATGAAATGATTATGGACATCATTATGTCATATACACCATCAGCTGATAGCGATAATGTGCTGATAGCGATTTATGTTAATGGCTTTGTTGCTGTTCAGGACAAAGCAGCATTCTTCACATTTATGAACGAGCTCAAGCAACATTTTAACATTCGAGTAATGACATTAAATTGTTTCCTTGGTGTACAAGTTGAACATTTGAAAGATGGCTCACTCTTCCTGCACCAAGAAGCATTTACAAGAAAGATATTAGAGTGATTTGGAGATGCTAAGACATCACGCATCCCAGTAAAGAAGTCAAGTCTCAAGGTAGACTATGGTCAACTAAATGGCATGATCAAGATCAAGGAGGCAAAGCCTCTCAGCAGTGAATTTACATACCGATCAGTAGTTGGCAGTTTGCTGTACTTGGCGATGGAGGACTCGACCAGATATTGCTTGCGCAGTGAGTTTGATATCTCGAAAGCTGAACAATCTTACAGAGAGTGATTGGGAAATCATACAGACAACATTAAGATACCTTCGCAATACCACGGCATTGTGTACAATAATGAAGATGATACAATAATTGGACACGGCATTTAGTGATGCCGATAACAACAGCTGTGCAGAAACACGCAGGTCTCGAACAAATGTTATTTCTTTCTATGCTGGAGGTGAAGCAAGCTATAGGAGGCCGTATCCAATTTGATGACAGAGGCAAAGTTCATGGCAGCAGCTGATGCCACGAAGGACCTGATATGGTTGAAGGGCTTGTTCAGTGAGATAGCTAATGTCTCATTGCCTATCCTACAAATTGACAATCAGTGTACTATCAAGTACATCAAAAATCTTATATTCCACACGCATAGAAAGCACATTGACCAAAGGTACAAGTTTGTGCAAGATGAGTTCTCGAAGGGTCATTTTCAATCAGGCTATGCCAGAAGTGATGAACAATGAGCATACATTCTGACAGAGGTGCTTCCAGCACCTCAGTTTCACTTTCAGATGAAGTTAATTGGTGTAAAAACAGTCAATAAGTAAAGGTTAATCTATATGAACAATGACTATTTTCATGCTCGAAGGAGGCTGTTGAGAATTGAGCATTTAATTGATGTTGTGTGCAGTTTTAGTGGCGTGATTGTTTTGTTGTACTATTATGTTTTATGCATCTGGCATTACTGTTATTTTTTTCATTCTAAAGTTTTTAAGTGAACAATAAGATGTATGTAAAGTTTCTTTACTTTTTTTGCTTAAAGTCCGAAATTCATTTAGCAATCACTCTTTTTGTTAATTTTATAACAAATATAGTTACTTTTTGTAATTTAATCCATCAAGAAGGTACCTATTACAATCAAAAGTCTTTATTCCGGATGTCCATAGTCCAAAATGATCTATAATCCGGACATCAAAGCTACAAACTTTCTGCGCATACGTTAATGCGTTTACGCATGCACATATGTGTTTATGCATGCGCATAATATGTTTACGCATGCGCGTTTAATGTATAACGGACAATATAAGCTATGCTAAAATTGTCTAATTCAGTTAATGTTGCAGATTGTGTTGTTCCTTAATCTTCGAATTGGATCCGGCTTATTATTTTTTGCAGACAGTTAGAGCAATTTTATAAAAAGTAAGCTTGAACTTTCGATTGTGTCAAAAAGAGTTTCCAATTCTCGAGCTGCCAAAGGATCTACAAAGCGAAAGCATATTTCGATATCCATTAAACATAAAGTGGAATTGCTACAAAAAATGGATAAAGGCATGAAGAAAGTGACAGAGAGATGATTTGTTTCTCTAACCATTCCAAAATCTGTTTATCAATTTCACGCTGCTCTGCGGAGGGATGGGGGACGCAGTGAACTGGAAGTTGATCTGTCAGCACTATCCTTATCTTCAGAGCAGATGTTTTTATTTTATTCGGCTTATAATTCCTTACTAAATGTAGTATTTCATCTCGATATACTCCGTCTTTGATATGATTTAAATCAAATTCCTAGTCATTATAAATATCACGAATACACATCGAATAGTTTTCTAGTTGATATTTTCTAATTTCGACTATGCGTAATGTATGCTTTACGCATGCGCGCGTTGAAAGAAATGTTTAATAAAGTAAACAAATAAATATTTAGCTTTTTTTTTTGTAAATTTTGATACCTTTTAGATCATATTTGCTCTTTATTTCATAAATTATGGTTTCATATTTTTAATTTTATAATTTCTGCATGCCATCTTACCAGATTTAAACTGATGATCTATAATCCGGAAAAACCAATAATCAGGAATCGCCGAAGTCCCTACGCGTCCGGACTAAAGACTTTTGACTGTACAGGTATTTGAAGTACACTGCTGGCCATTAAAATTGCAACACCATGAAGGAAAGCGAATACAAAAAAGCTGTTTATTGCATGTAAACAGTCTGGCATGAAGACAAAATGTTTAAATTTGTAAGCATTTTGGAGGTTTACAGGGGTGTGAAATTAGTAGAAACAGCTGCCACCTCTGGCAGTTAAAATGGCCCTTACTCCATTGGGCGGTCAAACTGGGCTTGGATGACGGAAATGGGCAACTCATTCCATGCGCTTCAAGTCTGTGCCACACTTCATCAACCGTATTAGCTGGAGAGGAGTGGCGAGCCAGTGTCTCAGCAACCCAGTGCAAGATGTTTTCAGTGGATGGTAGATCCGGATACTGCGCAGGCCAGGGCAGCAGTCGAACACGAGATAGAGCACAACGACTGGGCATAAGATGTCTGAAATGTGCCCATCTGCGTTCAAATTACAGTCGATCCAAATTAGAGATGTGCGTGTCGTGTACCCAGTGGTTGCCGAAACCATCATACCAGGTGCAGGGCCACTATGCTAATATCGAATGGAAGCAAACAATGTGTGGTCTCTTTGGACACTTCAGACACGTATAGGGCCTTCAGAATACTGCACGTAGAATCGGGACTCATTTGAAAATGCGACATTGTGCTACTCCTGTACCCAGCTTTTTGTGCACCAGAGTCGCTGTCTCTCTCTTTGCTGCATTGGCAAGAAAAGCCAAAGTAATGGTCACTCTGCTGATAGTCCAGGCTGCTGCAAGCGTTGAAGCACCGTATGAGTTAATACTGGGCGTGCTGCAAACATGCCCATTTCATGACTAATGGTCTGTGATGTGGTCTTATGGTTTTGCAGGGTGGACCTTCACATGACAGTGGTTGGATGTCGACCAGTGCAACCAGTGATATCATAGAACGATAATCTACACTTTCGATAGGAAAGGATCCTGCCTGTATTGAATTTTGAAACTTGCTGGTAAGAATTTCCTCTTTTTATTTCAGGCATAACAGGATATTCTGAGTAAACTCCAACCTACAAAACACTTTCCGAATGAGAAATCCACTATATAACTTTTCTTTTATGCAGTGCTTCAGATGTTGTTTCTCCCTCCTGCATCATCTAAAGGCACTGAAATACTAACCATTTGCATATCCCAGCTTCTTCCTTTTGTGTGATTTTAATGTTCATCAGATGATTCCTTCCTGGTGTTGCAATTATAATTGCCAGCAAGTATAAGTTTATTGCCCAGCTAAAATGCATGTTAAAGAATGCATTGAATAATTACTTTTTATTCAGATAATAAATTGTTTAGTAGGTGAAGCAAATAATGAATAAATAAATGAAATAAAACCTATAACAGTAATGAACAAAAAAACAAAACAAAACAAAACAAAAAAAAAAAAAAAAAAAAAAAAACCCAAAATTGTATTTAAGTAGAACTATTTTAAGAAAATTCAAGTAGAATATCTACTTGCAGTAAAATATAACTTGAGTATATGAGATGGAAGTTTAATGCTTTCATTCTGTGGAGAGTAACTGTGATAGCATTAGCAAGTTTTACCCTTAGCAACAAAGTGGTAAATGCTAATTGTCAGTTCAGGCTTCAGTTTGGTAATTCACTAATGAAATATTCACAAACAGATATGATTATCACTATATATCATAGCTGTTTTTTTGATTGTACTTCTGATTTCATGAAAAGTATCCTTTTTACTTGTTAGCTATACTTATGTATGTTCTGTTCATTTCTTACTGTTAAATTAAAAAAAAATAGCAAAATGAAGAGAGACGTTGGTTTAACTTTCTCATAATAAATGCATGTAGTAAATTTTTTAATTATTTATTTGTTGCATATGTAATTTTCATTAAAACAGTAATATTGAATTTTGTTGCAATTTTATGAAATTTGATTTAAAATATTTTTAGATTTAACTATTGTATTTATGTAACCAAAGTGCTACTATGTTTGCTTTTGGTAAATTGTGAGGGAAATAAAACTATATAAATTTTAATGCAATAAATTGACTTCCATCATTTTCCTGCTTGAATTGCAGTTAAAATTTATCAATGCATCAAGTAGCATCCTGTGAAATAAGTGTCCACTATTTTATGAAATTGTGAAACAAATTGTAGAAATGAAAATTTGCACTTTTTTAATGTTTGTAAGCATAAGATTAATTATGCACTTATTTTTAAAAATTATAAATTTTTAAGAGATAACTTAAAAATCAAATATGTCAAATATATAGAGTATATAGAAAATCAAATATATAGAGTGTGGATTTTTCTTATTATATTGAATATCTCAACTGAGTGACATATATCCAGAATAAATAAAGAACATATGCTCATTTGATAGTTTAGGACTTACTTTTTTATATGTATTCCAAATAAAATGAGTATTTCAGTAAATTGGATGTTCCTTTAACCATGATACTGAATCAGCTATATATATTGTGAGTATGTGATTTCCTAAAAGTTTTATGTGATATTTAGTATGGTTTTATTACTATAAATTTCTCAAAATATGTCATTAATTCAGGTTTTTATTTCTTATTAGGGAGCAGAAAAAGAAAAATCGAAACTGTAACTCCAAAAATAAAAGTAGAAGTTGATGAAAAAGATGATGTTCAAGATGTTCAAATATATTATCCAAGTTAGTTTTTTAGATATATTATTTATCCTTAAATTTAGTCACAAATTATTATATCCCATCAGTTGTAAATCCACTCCTACAACTTTTATTTAAGTTGCTTTTTTAAATATGGACAAGTTATGGAGTATCTGCTTTGTGTGTGGGAGGAGGAGAGATTTTTTTCTTTGCTCTATGTATTATTTTGTATGATATACAAAGTGTGGCTATTAATTTTTAGGCGTCACATTCTTCTTGATGTCTTCAACATCCACAAAGCGTGTTCCTTTGATCACAGTTTTGAGTTTGGGAAACAAAAAGAAGTCTGCGGGGACCAGGCCATGTTGAAGACATCAAGAAGAATGTGATGTTGACATTGAAGATCCTTCCGAAAGAAGACTTTAAAAGTTGTTTCCACAACTTATACAGCCGAGCACAGAAGTGTATTACGACAGATGAAATTACTTCAAAACATATTAAAAGGTTACGTTTTACACATCATCTGTTCTGGTGCTATTAGAGTAGTCCTGGAAATTAATAGCCACACCTTGTATTATACAAAATGAGTTTTTATATATGAAGCATATATATGTAGGGTTTTTGTAAAAAGGTGACTACAAGCTGTATTTTTATGAATACATTTTCCTAAGCATGTGCTTGCACCTAGGAATAGAAGGGTTTTGTAAATACGATGCATGATTTTTACATCCTCCTTGTAAAGCATACATAGAAATATCAGAAATTAAATTTGTGAGCTGAAATCACTTTGCTGTGCATATTTCTAAAATTTTCACTTGTTTAGGATAAAAATATAGTAAAAGTTGTTGATTTTAGTGGTTAATGATTCATATTAGGGATTCTATTGTATTGGCAGACATGGTAGTGTATGTTAAATAATGCTTTTGTACAATTTTTTTTTATCAAATGAAGGAGTAACTATTAAATTTTATTTCTGTTAATATGCAAGAGAGGGAAAAGATGGCTTTTAGCTCTTTCCCATGTCTCTAACATTTTTAAATCTTTACAAAATGTGTTTTTTTATATCTACCTTTCTTTTTGTAGCTCACTTACTGTTTGAATTGTTTGCAACAAAAATGTTTTTATGCAAGTGGATGCATTTCTAAATGTATGTGTTTGCCAAACAATAATAATGAAAAAGTGAAAATAAGAAAAATAACCATTGATTGTGCCTGATCCAAAAAATTATCTATTTTATAACTACGGCTTTGACTGCAAGTGCCAGTACATTCCTTCTATTCAACTTGCACAATAGTCAGTTTACATAAATACATGATTAGCAAGATTTTCATTAGTCTATGATTTTGGGGGTGGGTAGAATTTTACATTGGCTTTAAATATGCCGATATATATATATATATATATATTTTCACTATCAGCTTATGAGATTATTATAATTGAATTTATTTTATTCTGGTAATTTTTTGTGAAAATTAAAAGAAAACATAAATATATTATGAAGTATCAATTGAAAAGTTCTCTTTAGTCTAGTGAACAAGGATTAACTGACATAAATTTGGTGAGCACTGTGTTAGACAGCAAAGGTTTAAACAAATAGACCAAAATTAGGCAGTTGAATTTATATTTGGCCAAGAGTAATAAAAATTATTTTGTTAACTTCTTTTCATTAGAATTATTCATAAAATGATTTAAAAATTTATGCTTAAAAACTGTATCAAAAGAAAGTAGAAATATATTTAAAATTATTCTGATATGAGCTAGTGTGTGTTTTTGATTGTAGAATGAATGCAGGTTGGTGCACAATTTAAAGAATTTGTGATTTGTTTTTAGCAAGGAAAAGAAAGAAAACTGCTAATACTTCCGAAGGTACTGAAGATCAAATTAAAACAGAAATAGGTCAGTTAACTTTTAACTTCCTTCATTAGTCATTATATTTATTATACATTTTTAATTAATTTATTATTTTCTGTAATTTAATATTCCACATAAAAGTTCTTTGCATCTGTTTATTGTGTATCTACGTATGTATAGTATATGACTACGTAGTATGTAGAGTGTATATCTGCATATATATGTATACATTTGAGTGGTCATAAAAAAACTTCCTCGATGCATGAACCCTTAGGAGCTAATCAGCTCAACCAGTTGAAATGATATTTTCCTGATATTGCTATTTGAAGATATGGGCTCAAGATTGTGATGATTTAAAACAATAACAAGGGTTCTTTGCGAGGGCCACTAGGTGAATCGTCCTTTCATTTGCAATTGTTCGAGAGACATTAGTGCAAATTATCAATACACCTTTGCACAAAACAGGTTTTAATATAAATGAAGAACATACATACGGTTAACAGATGCATGGAAAGTCTAAGTAAAATTTTAAAATTCAGCACAACGCAGCATGTAGGTTTCTCCTTCAGTGATCTAGAGCCATTTGGTCCAAGAGTTCATAGTTCAGCATAATGATGTCACAGAGCAAGTGTCTTGATTCGCAATGTAGGTAAGAAATCATAATTTTCTTAATATAAAATATAATGCCATCTAACCTACATTTAGCAAATATTAAGGAGACTTAAGACTTTTGTATTTTATTTGTGGAGTACTATATCTTGAAACAATTTTGTTTTACTAGTAGGAGATTTTAGACAGGTAAGGAAACATAGTTTGTAAACAAAATACTCCATCTGGCACACATAGTAAATTCTTGGAAACTTCTTCTCAAACTAAGAGGAAGTAAGTTCATGCACAGCAAAATTTGTTCACATTCATCACTTTATAGATCTTTCTTTTGCAGTGTACTTGCTTACTTGAGCTTGAGCAATGTGCTTAGACATTAATTTCAGATAGGCACGGCATGTCTCCTGGAATGTTGGTCCACAGAAGATAAGGGTTTTTCAGCTAATCTTTCGTCATTGCTTATGTTTTTGCATTTCTTTCTCGAGCACTTAATAAAGGTCTGCGATAGAATTTTTTGAGTCTGTGTTTGGATTGGATGAATTTGAGACTCAAACTTTGATTCTGTTTTAATACAGTTAAGTAGTAGTAGTAGAGTGTACGTTATAAGACTTGATAAGATTTTATAAGAGTATCTCCCAGTAGCCCAAACTAACCTACTATAAGAAAAGGAAAGCATATCTCAGTACTGAAAACTCATGTATGTATAAGAGCTCAATTCAATCAGTAGTGAAGGCAATTGTAAATTAAACTGAACAAAGCAATTCGTCATATCAAATCAACTTTTGTCTTCATTTTTTTCCAGACAAGTGATCCTTGATATTTGAAAACACTTACCAACTGAAATTCTCATAAAATTTCATATATATTATTGTATAAGAATTAAATCATGTTAACCTTTTATTAGCTGTATGCTGATACATAAGTCACCATATACATTTAGTCCATGTTCATGCAGCTCTATAAAAGTATCAGGTCAATCAATACCTTATGTTGGGAGGAGAATAGCTGTAAGATTGCTAGTTCTAGGCTTTGCTGCATTTAGGTACAAGAGGCCATTTTTTCATAATGTCTGGAAACTACTCTTAATAGCAGATTCAATTCATGATTAATTGATTGAATGGCTCTTTCATTTCTTCTGTTCTAAAGTTTTTTTTATTTTTATTTATTATTTTTTTGTTTGTGTGTGTGTATCTGAAAACCTGCTATAGTCTCCATCTTCCCACTTTTAAAACTATTAATTAAGCAGATCAAGTTTGTTCTACCATTCATTTGCATATTTATGATCCCACAGAAATAAAGCAGCAAAATATTTCATTATATAATGAGGAACTCTCAGTTGTTGATTACATATAAATTTATTGTAAACAGGTTTTTAAGAGGTATAATGATATACTATGAATAGTATTTTAAAATTGAATAAACTGTAAATCATGCTTCAAGTAAAGTACTTTTTTATTAATTATTCTCATAGAAACACACATAAATTTGCATTTTGTTAGTTTTTAATACCATATATGGTATGCGCATAAATTTAATATCATTGATGACTTAGTTTTTAATATATACTACTATTTGCCTCATCTGATGGATTAGCATAATTTCATTTTTTAAATCATTATATGTTTTATTTTGATTTGTACATCATAAAAACTGTTAATGAATGTTAAATTACATAAAAAAATGTAAGGGTCTGAAGGAAGGAGGATTTACAGGTTTAAAGTTTTAGAGCCAGAATGGTACAAATTGTTGTTTTTCATTACTTTATTTCTGTAAATTGTTTAAGTAACTTTTCTAAAATGTATATTTTGTATTTTTTACTGCAGTTATTTTTGCTAAATTATTTTTAAGAATATAGCACTGCATTTTTGTTTATTATTTGCATTATTTATTAAATAAATACTTTCCATAGTAATTTGTATATTTTCCCATGATAGTTAAAACTCCAGACTCTAAAACAAAAGCTGCATTTGAGCCACTTGATGTGAAACCTAGCATTTATCAAATGCTTTGTGCAAACAGAAGAGTTGTAAAATTAGGTGATATACCTTCAGGTATGTATACATTTTAGCCATTTTAATATATATGTTACGGTGAAGCACCGAAATCTGGAGAATGTCGACTTTCACCAGTGAATGTCAACATTCACATAGTCTCTTGGTGTATGTCCAAAATATTTTCCAAATACTCTTATTTCTGACTTACACCCAGTCAATGTCGACATTCACCATGTACTAATGGTGAATGTTGAACTATAACAATATTATATTTTCTCTCCATAATTCAGTCACGAATAAATGCACTTGAGGACTTGAAATAAGAACTTAAGACATGAGAACCTAAAACGCACAATACATTCAAAATGAGAAAGGAAAATAATAGAATTTAAAACTAACTTAATTATACAGTATGTTCTAAATGAGAAAATAAAATAACAGTAATAAAACTACTAAATATGTGATTCAAATCTATTTATTGCAACACTTAAACTATTATGGCACTTTATGACCTCTCTTTTCGACTTTCACCAGAGTATATCTGTGATTGTCGACATACACCGGTGAGGGTCCGAATATACAAGAATGTAGTGAAATATTCGATCTTTCACCGATGTATTTGGTGAATGTTGATATTCACCAGTGAAAGTCAACATTCTCCAATTTCGGTCTTTCACGGTAACATATATATACACACACACACATAAAAAAATATATATGCACCCAGAAGGAACTCAACATGTATGTAGTGTATAAAGAAATAAAGAAATGATTACAAATTCAGAACAAAGGATCGTTTTATTAAGAAGTTATGGCATGAAAAAGGTTACAAACCAGTAAGTAGTATAGCCACCTCTGGCAGTTATATATGCTGAAACACGGTGTGACATCAAACAAGTAGGTCACCTATGACCCTCTGTGGAAAATCATGCCGTAATCCTTGAAACTGGGTAGTTAATTCACCAATATTCCGGCATAGCTGCAGTTGCCTTCCAAGCATGTTCCAAACATGCTCTATGTTTCTCTATTGGCATGCTCTCTCTATTGGTGAGAGATTTCATGACCTGGCAAGCCATGGGAGTACATAAGAGTACATCATGGCTATGGGAGTACATTTCCTTGAAGACATTGTTGGCAGATTTGTGCAGTATGTGGACGAGCGTTGTCTTGTTGATAAACGGCACCTGGGCGACTTGATAGCATAGCCAGTACATAGCGACTTGATAGCATAGGCATTAAAATTTTGTTCACATAACTGTGAGGTGTCATAGTGCCTTCAAGGACGACTAGAGGTGATCATGTGTCCTAACAAATCACTCTCCACACTGTCATGCCTTGTGTAATGTTTGTATGCTGCTCAACAATAAATGCAGGATCAGACCGCTTTCATGGCTGCTACCACATGCGTATGTGTTGGTCATCAGCACTGAGATTGAATCAAGGTTCATCGCAGAAGATCACATGCCCTCCAGTTGGCCACGCTCCAGCTTGCCTGAGTTCGGCAAACATCCAGTCCACACTGCCTATGATGTGGGGTCAGTGGTAGGTATCTTAATGGACGTATGTAGTATATACTAGCATTGACCAGTCGTCTCCGAATGGTTTCCTGTGATACCACCACATGCCTGAAAGGTGGTAAATGGTTTCAAATTGATGCTAGCGATGTTGATGCAGAACTGGCTGTTCTTATGGTTGCATGATCCTTGCACTCATTTGTGTTTCTGGCACATCTTGACCCTCCGCGATGACTATCCCTTCCGTGATCCATTGTCACCAACACTGAGCAACTACCATATCACTCTGACCAATACGCCTGTTTGACCAACCTGCTTCTCTGAGGCCTATTATATGCCCCTTTTCAAAGTCTGACAACTGTTCGTACTGCCTCCGGTTGCATCTCAGAAGCATCTCTAGACACAGTATTGCCCATCCAAGCAAACAGATTTCGTTTGAATAGTCCTATGGAACAAGCAATCATACTTTTAAACTCTGCCAAATGTGCATCTCATATGCGCATAATACGCTTAATTGGTGTTGAAATTTAAATAATTTTCATGTCTCTTACCACTACATTCCTGCCAAGTTTCATGACTTTGGCTCGATTTCTTCTGGGTTCATATATTTTTTGTGACAGAATGTATTAAAAAAATGCAGTCCTTACTTTGTGCTTAATCAACATATTTGTGTTATTAATAATAGTGATAGGTTAGCTGCAAAGAGGGGGAACTATGCATTTAATTTTTTTTCACTTGAAAAATGTTTCATGGCTTTAGGCATTCATCCACTGATGGAGTTTTTAATGATGAATGCCACCCATATTGTTCAAATTGCATTTGCATCTATTAATAACGTATTATCAGTCTGCAGATATTTTAAATTTAATTATTGTTCTTATAATGTTAGAAAACAAAATGAAAATACTATTTGCAATACTGCTATGACTTAATTAAAGAAATCTACTTTCAACAAAACTATTGGGTTGAAACATAAGTAATAGCCGTTTTTTTAAACATTTTTATTTTAACAAAGAACAATAAATTGGTTAATAATATCTGAGTTTTTGGATTTTCGCCATAGACCCAAGATGTCGAACTATAGTCGTTTGGCTATTTCTCAAGTGGTTTGATGCGTGTCTTCATGCAGAAGTTGATTCAAATGCTCTTCATAAAACTAATTTGGTCACCTGGAACAAGCAGCGTCTTCGAGGTCGAAATTCTCATTTTTACTTCCTTGTACGAAGTAAAAAGGAAGTATAGTAATCGCAAAAAGTTTCAGGCAGCATATTTCAACGAAAATGTCGACCGCTATCGAATGTAATTTAACGATGTTTTTGCATGACATCTGTACGTAAGGACAGAATAAAAGACTCTTTTTCCTCCAAAAAAAATTATAAAACTGCTTTAAAATGAATTCTGAAGAAAATTTTTCGTGGCGTCTGTACGAACGTATGTACATACATATCTCTCATAACTAAAAAACAAGTAGCCTCAGAATGTTGAAATTTTGTATATAGGACTGCTATAACATGTAGATGTGCACCTCATATTTTGGTGCAATCGGCCGCACCAAACGTATATAAATATATATATGTACACTCTGTTACTCGGCAAAGTGATCTCAGTTTCTTTACACTTACGTATATGTTTGTAAATTGTACAATTTTTGCTTAAAAAATGATTGAATTATGTTGTTCTTATCTTCCGGTTAAGGTTTTTATGCCTTTCGTAAATCTGGAAGCAATATTTGTACAATTATCAGCAATTTAAAAGCTGTTTAAGTGCGGTTAAGTTTTAAATAACATGGCGGACATATTCGTTTACATTTGACACAGCAGAATAGTAGATTTGTTGCCAATCTAGAGAGACTAAGCTTCGCAACAAAAATAACGCCTTCATTTATTATTGCGAATTAAATCATGCTTAATCCTTTCTTTAATTTTTTTGAGGAAATAAGTGTTTAAGATTTATTTCGTAATTTTTAATACTGATATTTTGAATTTTTATGTATTTTTGCCTACATCGTTCTATTGTTATTATAGTATTTGAATAGAACATGTGGCAACGATAAGATAATTCTTCAAATGATAAATTCTGTGCATTCTGAGTTTAATAGAACGAAATATTAAGTGAACTAGCGCCAGAGTGTCGCTATGGTAAAACAAATGTAGTGAATTTTAAAGGTGCATTATTCTATTGTGGTTTATGCGCTGTCGACGAAGTAGATTTAATTCAATTCAATAAGTTTAAATGAAATGCAAGAAAAAATGTGTATAATTTAATATTCTGTACAAGGAAGTCATGTGGTGTACACATCAGATTTTTTAATTTAGCAAACCAATTTCTTGCAGTTTGTTCAGGCATTGCACCTTCCATACATTTCACAAATCTCTTGGCAGCTTCAGCAGCATTGGTGCCTCGATTAAATGCAAAACGAAGAAGGTGTCGAAAATTTTTCTTGTTGTTGACTTGACACTCCATTTTAATGATCTGAAAAATAAAAATTAGCTCAGACAAAATAATCAAACATGCCATCTTGTAGGGGGAAAGATTCTCTTTCGAGTAGCTCAAAACATTATGCCAATACATTTTATTTTTACCACGTAATTTTAAACACAACATAAATGGCCATTACTTGTGTTTCAATCCAATAATTTCAATCTCAATAGTTTGTACATCTCTACTGCAGAATAGCCATAATTATTAACATAACTATACACATTACAGTAGCCATAATTATTAACATAATTGTGGCTATTTCTAGATGCTAATTCTGCATAAGCATTGGAGCAATTATTATTCATTTCAAAGGAATAAAAAAACAATTTTGTATATTTTCTCTGCAATGCCATGAGTTGCCATGAGTATTTCTGAGTGTTAAAATATATTTTGAAGCCTTTAAGCAGTATATTTAAATATTTACTATTAATAATGCATATGCATCACTACCTATTGAATTATAAAATTTATTTTTATTTTCTTTTCTCAGTGGCGGAGCGTATTAAGAGAACAAAGGTTGATCTTGTTCACCTTTATCGATTGTTATTCTCACGATCTCCAAAAGTAGGATTTTTTTATTAAGTATTTTTTAATAATTATAATATTGTTTAAAAATATGTTAAAATTATATTAAATCATTTAAGGATCATTCTATGCAGGAGCATATAATGAAAGGAGCAATCTTGAATTTCAAGGGGTTTCCTTTTGATGAAAATTCTTCTCAGTTTCTCAAGAGGAAGCAGATGTTAGAAAGGTTTGATCCTATGATAATTTTTGTTTGAAACATGATCACTACATTTAATTTTGGATTGCTTTCTAGTCACATAGTTTTGTTTAAATTTTATAATTTCTGTATAAAACTTAAGCTGTAATTTCATATATTTCTGTTATCAAGTATTTCATAGTTGTACAGTAGAATTCCAGAAATCCACAAAGCTTGGGGCCAGAGGTTGTGCGGATTTCAGGACAGAAAAGATAAAGCATAATATTCGGACTAAAAGGCAAAAATGAATAATGTGTATTAGATACATTTAATTAAATTATTATATACATTATTGCAATAATTTATCATATGCATTAAATTATTATTACATATATAAATCGATTATATTATTCATTGTATTATATGTACACAACATCGAGGTTTGCCGATTTTGCCGCATGTAAAGATTTCCGGTTTCGAATTCTGGTGGTTAGAATCACTGTTGCTGTAAAATTTCAACAGCTTTTCTTTATTTTTCCGTATATCATACACAATCGTGTCGCAATTCCATACCATTCTGCTTTAAATCGAGAAGTAGCACCTGCTTCCATCTTTTACAGAATTTGCACTTTTTACGTTACTGTGAATGCAACGTGTTTACGTTTTTTCATCGTTGCAAGCAGTAAAATCATGAGTGCGTTTCTTATCTGACATTGTATTAAAAAGGGCTGAAATTAAAAATATTCTTCATTTATCCACAAAATATCCAGATAAAAAAAGCGGCAGCACTAAACAATCTGGTGAAATGAAATAACAAAGCTCAGAAAATACAACAATGTGAATAGTAAACTTGAACAAAGAGTTGAGTGAATCATCTGCTTTTTTTCCTACCTCGATTCAGATTAGAGGGGAAAAAAGCTATCTTATTTTTTTAACACTTCTATATCAATACTCGTTTTGACTCATTATTATTCGGTAATTATGACGTCATTATTCATTAAGTATTTTTTTCTTCAATATTTCGTACTCAATGTTGCGGTTTCTGGAACCTGTAAACTGAATGTTTATATTCTGAGAGGCAACGTGGATTTCAGGAGTTGGCGGATTTTCGTTATTTGACTGTAATACTTTTAACCTAGGAAGTAATGGTGAAAGTGTATGATATTTTAGATTTTGCAGAATTTTTCATATCCAGAAGTGTTAGTGACATTGTTTTTAAAACTGTGTCATCTATGTATTATAATCTAAATTCTCATTCTAAGAAAGTGTAGTGGTACATAACTTAATGTTTTTGTATAATTATTAAGATTTTCTAATTGGCAACATGATGTAATGTTTTTACATAGTTATTAGGATTTGCTGTATGGCAACAAGGAGTTGAGTTAAAAAAAGTTGTTACTTGGAGTGTTCCATGATAAGCATTACATAAGCCTTATTTCTTAAAAAACTTGTTATATCATTTTTATGTCAAAAAAAAAAATAATAATAATACAAAGTCCGTAATCTGGACTCGTCGGGACTTCGGTGATTCCGGATTAGGGGTTTTTCCGGATTATAGATCATCAATTTAAATCTGGTAAGATGGCATGCAGAAACTATACAATTAAAAGTATGAAACCATAATTTATGAAATAAAGAGCAATTATGATTTAATCAAATTTTATATAATATCAAAATTTACCTACAAAAAGTTTGATATTTATTTGTTTACTTTATTAAACATTTCTTTCAATGTAAGTTGTTTAAGTTGCTTCATTTTCTGTGCTAATACTTTCTCTTTAATTCTATAAACAAACATAATTTTTTGCTCAGTTACAAAGTTCCACTGTTCAAGTCCTCTAATTTCTGTGTCGAGAATACTGACTAACCTGTCAATCGAAATTTTTTCGTTTTCAATAACCTCTGTGTCACTTCCTTCATTATCGGAAGCGCACATGTGTAAATGCTTTACTGGTTCTACGCGCATGCGTAGCGGATGTTGCATCAAACTTGCATGCGTATTTGTGGCTTTGAGGTCCGGATTATAGATCATTCCAGATAATGGGCGTTCGGATTACGGACTTTGTACTGTAGTAATATGTTGCAAACAAGCATGGAAGTTATGTAAAAATGAATATGCTGTTTTTTAAGACCAAAATAAGCATTTATTTAAGTTATGAAATGCTCTGGCTGTGTAGTTTCTATTTCGTTTTTCCGTCAATAAGCCCGAAAGTACGAATTTCCAATAAATCATCGTGAATATAAAAATGTAGAATTTGAAATTAATTTTGCCTTTTTTGATATAAACTGAATTTTTGACTATTTGAAATTTTTCTATTCTATCTTTAGTATTGGTTTATCAAAAAATAAATGTAATACAAAATTCTTAGTATGTTAGGAAAATAAAATAGTAGGCTTTTAAAAGAATGAAAAGCATAAGAGAATTGATGTCTTCCTGGAAGGACTGTCTGCTTTTATAAGAATTTTTCCTACATAAAAGAAATTATTGTGAAATTTAGATTAATTATTTACATTGAAATGAAGATACCATTCTAGTGTAAATAATCATGCAAATCTTTCATTCTGGTGCAAATCTGGTGATACCATTCTAGTGTAAATAATCATGCAAATCTTTCATTTTAAAACATGGTGTGAGGAACTACTTTTAATAAATAGGTACAGAAGATTCTCTTTTTAATTAGCTCTTGAACTATGTATGAAGATTTTATTAATTTCTCTTATCCATTAAGTAATAAGTGAAAATAGTGCTAAGTATTTGCATTTGGGTTGTAAAAATGGCCAGATTTCTATTTATTTATTTAGAGAAGCAAATAAATAAATATAACTGTATATTTATTTTCAATTTATTTGATTGCATCAATTGATCAAATGAGGAATCAAAATTTGTTTGAAATGGAACATCTTTAGCATTGATGGTAAATCAGTGATGTGAAGAAAAAGTGGCGATATGCTGATTTTATTATTATACGAGTATTTTTTTATATATCTTGATTTTGTGTAAATTTTAAATTTTATGTTTCATTTTTTTATTAGTTGCACTTTTATTCAATGAAGTAAATTATTAACATATAAGAAAATTTTAATGTGCGATAGATAGCATTTTGTATTCTATCTCGCACTGATAGAGATTTTTTATTTTGCTGTTGCTGTATTGCATTTCAGTTTGGTGTTTACTGCATCATTTAAGAAATGATTTTCAAAAGAAATGATATTTTTCTTCATACATCTTTAAATGAAATAAACTATAAATACATCTTTAAATGAAATAAACTATAAATAAAGTCTTGCTTGTTTCTTGAGAAATGTGTAGCTAATGTTATCAGAGACAAAATAATTTTCTTATGTATTTTTGAAATGTAACTCTTTAATTTATAAAATGCAATTTTCTATTGATAGTTTGGAATTCTACCGTGTTATTGCAATCTGCAATGTATTAGGTTTTTGTAAAGAAAGCAAGTCTGCTATGGTTTCTAAAATTTTAGAATTTTTATTGAAACCATATGATATTATGGGTGTAAAGAAAGATCTGTCTATGCAACCATATGTGAAGCTGGAAAGGTTGTCATTAGGTAAATTTTTTTTTTTTTTTTTTTTTTAAGAATGTGAAATTAAAATTTTGCCGTATTATATAAATTATTGTGTGTTAAGGCCCATTTCCACTACTGCGTACGAATGCGTTGCATCAATTGAAGACACGTCTATGTCATCTGCACAAGCGTTTCCACTGCCGCGTATCCGTAGATTATTTTTATTTTCCGCCTCTAGGTGTCACTGTAATATTTTGGCACCAAACAACCAGTTTGTGAGTTACGACACTGAACATCTGAATTTTGCCCGCGTAAGCGAGTATTGTTTGTTTTGGATTTGGTATGGATCCTGACATAAAACACAGAAAAGTTTTGTTTGCTAAATTCCATGTTATTGGAAATTTTTACTTCTGCTTATGAACTGCGAAAGTAAAGTACACTGTCAATTTTTAGATAAGTAATATTATAATGCATATTATGAACTTACTAGTTGCATAGAAGCTGAAGTAAATTTTAAAAATTTCTTTGTGTTTCTAGAAGCCTTAAATATTAATGAAATAATATGTATATTATTAAAACTAAAATGTACTGTTACTGAAAAAATAAACAAATAAATAAATAAAATAAAAAAGTTAAACGAATTAAAAAATAGTTGGTACTTTAAAAATACATAGCAACTGTAAAGAAAGGTTCACAATATTGACACAAAATTTCCTATGCCTGTATACCGCTGACCGCAGGGTCATAGCTGGATAATTTATTAGAAATCTCATTTGTTTTAAAATGCACAGTTATATTTTATGCATAATCCATAAAATATTATTTTTAATTTAAACATTTTTAATTCACATCTCTTTTTATAGAAGAAGTTATAAAAATAAGCTTTTTCTCTTTATATATGCACACATTAGGTAAAGAAAATAGAAATATTTAATTAATTCCTGTGCTTTGCTGGAGAGGACTGAATTTAACAGCAATTATTATAGTAATTTTTTGTTAAAAAATGTTTAGGGCATTAATACTGTCCCATGTTAATTGGTAATGAAAGTTTAGAGCAGTAAACATCCCAAAGTCTGAGCACAGGTATATACTTTCACATTAAAGTGAAGTGAAAAAAATATATATATATACAGGGTTTCAAAAGAATAAATAGTAAAGTTAAATTTAAATAATTCTCTTGTGCCATTGCTGCAAGGAATGAAATTTGACTTTAGCAAACATTCTCCATTATTAAAAAGCATAAATGAAATTTAATGCAAACAAATAAATTGTTAATTATTACTGCGAACTAATCTACAATATAATTTAAATTCTGAGAGCATATGTAAATCAAGTGCAAGTATCAAAATCCATGAATAAAAATATAATTCCTACACTTGATTTACATATGCTCTCAGAATTTAAATGATATTGTAGATTAGTTGGCAGCAAGAATTAATCATTTATTTATTTGCATTAAATTTCATTTAAATTTAATTAACTTTAAATTTGGTTTATACGAGTAGAGAATGTTTGTTAAATTCAAATATATATGTACAGGGTATGCTTTAAATTTGTATTATATAATTTTCAAATTTTTTTGTGGTGAAAATGTAAGAGCATAAATAAAACATTATATTTAATGCATATAATAATAGAACTAAATTATAAAACATGAATATGGATCAAATTGGAACAAGAAGCTAAGGAAGTTGCAGACAGGGTGGAAAAAGCATATGGGATTCGAACTCGCGACCCCCCAAAGTTAAACCACGTTACCACCAGCTTTACCACTAAGCTATCATCACACGACTATGCTTTAAAAATTTGGCTTATGTGCATCATCAAGTAATTAAATTCTTAGTACTTAATTTTTTGGTCCTATTTCAGTGTGCTATCATCTAAAAAATACACCAGAGTTTGTTCTTCAGCTTCTAGGACATTTGTTACAAAAAATATTATCTTTAAAAGTGGCATTCCGATTGAAGTTAAATGGGGTGCTAAAAATATACTCCACGTGCTTACAAATATATATTACACGAAAAGGTATATTTATACACAGAGAAATACAAATTTAACACACTCTTTAATGCAGAGAAATATTTAAAAGGCTATCAAATTTAATTTATAAATAATGTTTTTAGTTTTTACCTGTTTCAAAAGAAAAAAGCTCTTTCAATGCCATATCTGATTTGCTACAGCAGTTTGATATAGTCAGAAATTCAGTTTCATTAAAGGTAAATGTGCATGCAGAACTAGGAAATAATTATCAGGACAAATCTTGCTATTTTATGGATTTGAAATTATATTTTTTGTGCCTGATTTTCTTGAACTGAATTTCTTGACCGCCTGATTACCGCGAACTAGTACTGTAGTTGCAGTTATCTTATTTTTCTTATCTTTTTTTAACTAAATTCAGCTGGTTGCTGTCTTTTTCAGTACGCAGATTTCTCGCTATAATGTTAATTCAGAAAGAAATATTTTTTAGCAAAACGTTCTTTGCCTAAGCCAGCATTCATTGCTACTTCTGCCGCCATAAATTTTTGGCGACAACACCTGATTGCTGCCTTTTTTACCATGTGACCCCAACACATCTATCTGCACACATACGGATAGAAACTGATTGTTTTTGAACTCAATCTGTCACCGCACATCGACCAGATTGCAGATGTCAATCAAAGTGAATTAATTCACTCGCTGATTGGAGAAACGCATAGACACTGCAATGCATACGCAGCAGTGGAAACGGGCTTTTAGGCTTAAGTGTGAGAATGTATAGTTCTGTGTATAAGTAAATTACTCTTAAACTGTAGTTTCTAGAGATTTTTCTAAATGTCACTTGAAGTATTTTATAGTTACTCAGATACATTCCTCAAATATTTGATTTCTATTTTTCTTACTTTTCCTATGATTGTTCAGAAAATTATTTTTAAATATTTTAATGTGAGATTTAATTACCTTACTAATAGAGTTGAATTATAAAATAGTTTTTCTGCAAGTTATATTTGAATACTTTGTTGAATTAATTCAGACATATATCTGAGATTTGTGTTTCTGTGAGATACCTACTTAATAATTTGCTTTTGAAATTGTTTAACATTACTTCTTCATATAAAAGCTCTGTTTGTGACACTGCTGAAAGAGAAAAGGTAACATTGAGGAAAAAGTCCATTTAAAAAATAGCTCCTGTTATTAGTTTAGTTAATAGTTTAAGACAGAAGAAAATGCTCCAAATTCATCCATTTAAATTATGACAATAGAGATAATAATAAAATTTGTGTCTACTCCATGACAACCAGTGACATGAAGAAAAATGTCTTGGTACTTGATTGATTAGTATTCTTTTCAAAACCTGTCATATGGAAGAAAGTATACACCATTTTTGCAATTAAAGGATTTTGAACATATATTTGTGAAGTGGGCAGTACTTTATCTTACAAATTGAATTTTACGAACGATATCAATCATGATTCATTTGTGTATTTGGTGATCAAGTCATTCCCATAATCAGTGATGTAATTCTGGCTAATAGAATTACTCATGCAGAGAAAAATTAACATATCAAAAGAATACCATTATCAGGCTAAAAGGAGGCAATGTTCATATTTAAACATACCTGTTATTCCAGTCATGAACTGAAACATTTGTAGAACTGCCCCCCTCCCCCCCAAAAAAATCCATAATCTGTCTTATTCAATAGTGCAAATATTTTTTTTTTTTTTTTTTGAAGTCTCTAACCATGATTTATTCTTCTGAAGGCATGAATACCTTCCAGTATACATATGCTCTTGGTATACTGGAATTGCAGATGACATCATAATGTGAGGAGCAATTATTATTTATTTGTTGGCCGTTTCTGATTTTTACATTAGAAGCACTGCAGAGGCAACCTGTTAACAATTTGTGAGTCACAACAAATGTGATTTTTCTAGCATGATAATGTTCTGTCACATCTTTTTCTCATATCAGTACACATTTTAGGCCAGTGTCTTTTTCTCACAGCTAGCATACTCCATGGTCTTATTTACTAAGTATATCTCTGACTAAATTAAACTTCTTTCTACAGAAAATAGCAGTATCATAGTGGCATTGGCTGCATTATCAGAAAAGTATTTTAGAAAACCCTGCCTCAACATAAGAATGTAAATCCTGAATACTGTCAAAATCGAAAAGTTAATTACATGGAGATGGGTTCTCTCTTAATGAGAAGGTTAATGAGACTGTACCTGCAGTCCTAAAAAGGATGTAATAAATTAGTTTGTTTCATATTGCCATGAAATGTATAATTTGGTATGGTAGTCTGAAATTTGGGGAAAAAAAAGAAGTTCTGAAAAGTTATCTGCTTCTGAATAAGAGAATCAATTTTAAAACTCATCAGTAAATATTTAATAAAGTGTCTTACTAACTGAATTTTATAATCATGGCCTTAAAGTTTCACTGTTTTCTTGTTCCAGTTTACATCAGTGTGTTTATTATGTCTTATTTTGTTTAGTGAATTAATGTTGAAGGCAATTAGCAAACTACTTTTGTCTGTCTAAAATGTTTTGTACATAATCTGTGCATTTATTTTTTTTTAAATAAAAAAGATCATCAGAATATTAAAAGTTTAACCATGTAAGTTTTTTCTATATAAATTATATACATTATCTTTTTTGTGATTTCTGTTTAGATAATTATGTTGTCAGTTCTGATGAAGAAAAAGCTGATAGTGGCCGTTCATTAAGAAAAAGGAGAGCTAGTGCAGCTAAAGGGAGTGAACCAGTTAAATCTCCAGCTGTGAAGGTATCATGCTCTTTCCATTAAACTGTTCTTAATTTTTTTAAGGGTTTTCTAGCTTACTTAAAGCACATGTAAATTTTAATGTATATAGTTTTTACAGGTACTATATTTCAAGCTATATTCTGGATCACCTTAATCTCAGTTTATCAGTGTTAACGTATAATTACCGTATATTTCTTAATATAAGCTGAGACTGTATTTTTTCATCAAAAATTTACCCAAAATTCAAAACCTGTCTACTAGTTGAAATGGGAGGAAAAAAAAATCTTGTAACATGAAAACATGTCGCCATGATGGTGAAAATGTTGCCAGAAATGTAAAATGAGTGCAATATTTTCCAATCAAATCGCTATAAAGTAAAATACCAGATACCAACGATGATAGTTTTAACTCTTGTGATCTCGTCCAAAGTTAGCACATTTATTCCATTCAATTGTTGTCTTGTATACGATCTTTGCTATTTGTACTAGTCTTATTTCCTGTACCATTTTATTTTTCGTCTGAAAGATGAGCAGGAAGAGAAATTCGTACATAGCAAGTTTCAGTCTACAGAAGATCACATTTGCTGAAAATTCTAACAACAGTAAGGCTGCTCAACATTTCTCTGGAAATGAAAAACAATTTCAAGAGTGGAAAAATTAAGGTGCAAATTTTGTCAACAAATTTTTCGTTTTGCTGATGCTGAAGCAAATCAGCATTATAAACAGTTTGAAAATAAAACAGCTCATTTTCATAAAATGGAAAAATTATGGATTTATGGAAAAATACGTACGTTTTTTGCTAGATCAGCAAATCCATATATACGCTGATCCTGATAATTTAACTTTAGAAAAAGTTTAAAAAATTCTCATACACAAAAATATACAGTACCTTCACTATTCTCATTATATATCTTATTGTTTTGATAAACACATCTTTAAAACCTTATTGTAAAGAGTTAGTCATTTATTAAACACCTTGAGTGATGCCTGTGTAAAAGACAATACTTCATATATTCACTAGTAGTGATGTCAGTTTTATAGCCATTATAAAAAATCTCTCTGAGCTACTGTCATTTATCAAACACCTTGATTGATGCCTTTGCAGCAACCCGATTTACAATATATTTCGCCTGACTTTTCCTTATTCTTAATATTTCTCGCGATTTTTATGGAAATTGGCTTAATACTTCGTTATATGAACCCCCCCAAAAAAGTGAATTTGGACGTCTGAAAGCAATTGAATTCTCTAGATTATATCCAAAACAAAACTTTGCGAATCAGATGAGAATTTCTGCTTTGTGAGTGAGAGCATACGTATCCAGAAACGTCGTTCTCCAGTTCTCCAATGGGCATCGAGCTCCACTGCGTGTCATCTGGCATGTATTAGCCAATGAGTACAAAGCAAGCTCAAGGTTGTTATTTGGATGTTCTTTCGTTATTTTGTTCATCTTGTCCTGAGTTGTGTGAGTACACGTGCCTTCGGGAAATAGTTTTAGAAATTATCATGTTTTATTATGTCTGCGAGAAAGGGTTAAATACTCGTGTATGTTTCAAAAATTGTACACTGTTGACTTTCCTTCCATTATTTTCTCAAGGAAATGTAATAAATTTGCGATGGGTACCATCTGTCGTTGCGATTTTTCAATTTCGCATGGTGGGAGGGCGGATGTTCTCAAACATGTGCGTACACAAAAACACAAGGACAACATGAGTTATTTTGAAAAAAAAAAAAAAAAAAAAAAAAAAAAAAAATTCTTAGGAAACAAAGAGCCAAAAAGTGATTAATGCAGAATGTTTGTTCTCTGCCTTTTTACAGGAGCATAGCCTGCCACTGAATGCATCGGATCACGCTGCAGCTTTATTTAGAAAAATGTTTCCCGATAGTGAAATCGCTAAGAAATGCTCAAGTGCAAGGACCAAAACATGTGCAATTGTTAAAGAAATGGGTTTCAAAAATAAATCTTCAGTTATTGATTGCATTAAAACAGCTCTGTTCTGCACTCTCTCTACGGATGGAAGCAATAATACCAATTCAAAACTGTATCCAATTGTTGTTTCTTTTTTTTTTTAATCCAGAATCTTCATTAATTGAGTGCAGTTTACTTTCTGTTCCCACTTTAGGAGGACATTCGACAGGCTTTAATATGGCACAGCTAATTATTAAAACTTTAAAAGAAAATGCAGTCCGTCTGGATAATTGCTTAGCACTTGGTGCTGATAATGCACCATTAATGGTAGGCTTGAAGACTGGCATTGCAGGCATGTTAAGAAAGGAAAATTCAGATTTGCAGATTATGAGGTGCACCTGCCACCTTTTAAATTTAGCAGCTAAAAAGGGGCAAGCCTTCTTTACCAATAAATGTGGATGAACACATTGTTGATATTTATTATTATCCTTGAAAGGAATTTCTAAAAGGAAGGGAAAATTGAAGCAGTGTTCCAACAGCTGCATAATATAATACTGAAATGAGAAAAATTTTGAAACATGTGTGTACACGCTGGCTTGTCTTTAAAGAAATGCTTATCTAGAATCCTATCGATCCGATTGGAACCCACTTCTTTCATTTTTTAAAGAAGAAGTAAATGCTTCGAGAGTTAAGATAAACGGCTCTATTGAAAGTTATAAAATATCCTAAAGTAAATGGAGGTGGATATAGTTACTACTTCCATTGCTAACAAATAGGTTTGAGAAAAATAAAGTAATTTCTGCCACCATTCAGCAATTGAACTGGCAGTTCTCAAAATAATACTGCAAAATATAAGCGTAAAGCTGATACAAATTTCTCTCAAAATAAAAAAAAAAAAAAATTTTTTTTTTGCTCGACACACGAAACATTTTCCGATTATTGTAAGTTTATCTTGTAAAGAACGAGTATTTATGTTTTTTTCTCCAGACCTTAACAAAGCTTTTTGCTTTTTTTTACAATTTATTTTGCCATCATTCGATGTTCTTAACACAGTTCTACAAAGCAGAATTCCATTAATTCATGTTTTGCAATCAATGATTTATGATCTGTTTAAAGACATTTTATCAAAGTTTGTAAAACCAGTCTGTGTTTTGTCTTGTAATTCTATATGTGATGTGATTTATGGTGAAATAGAAAATCAGAAGAAAGATGAAGATTTGGTAATAGGAGCTGCAACTACAAAAGTAGTGGAAGAACTTTCAGAAGAAGACAAAAGTTTTATCTTCGTGTTAGAAGTTACTTCTGTCGAGTATGTGATTACATACTGCATAAATTTCCAGTTAATGATGAAGTGATTTTGCATGCTAAAGTTGTTGATGTTTCTGCTCTAGCAAATGCATCTTTTTCTGATATAAGGTACTTTTTGAACAGATTTCCTGTGTTACTTCACTTAGTCATGAAAGATGATGATATTGATGTTGCCACTGATATACTGCAGTCACAATTTTGCAGTTTACAATTAGAAAATTTGGATGAAGTCATAAAATCAGCTAGGATTGACACCCAGTGGAATTTAATTAGAAAACTGAAAGGTGCTGATGGAATTTTAAAATATAGTGAATTGTCTAGAATTATGTTGGCCATCTTGACAGTTTCCCATAGTAATGCAGAGTGTGAGAGGATTTTCAGTGTTGTTGCGAAAACAAGGACTAAATTTAGATCTAATATTAGTGGTGACACATTAGAAAAACTTTTATTATCGAAAGCAGGCCTACGTGGCAATTGCTATGAACAAAATTATGAAGCTTCTTTCTTAACGAAAGCAAAATCTGCCACTGTTCATAAAATTTGTGTGAAAACTGATTAAAGTGTCTTTTTTTTTTTTTTTTTACGATGCAAGTAATGAAAATGTTTTTTTATGCGTAAGGTATTTTTGTGTTGCTTGCATTTAAGACTTAGTAACTATTTAAAATTAATTCATTATTGAAAATTATATTTTTATCGTTTAAAAAGTCTTTTTAACATTGTGAAAAATCTCCTGATTTTTTTAGTGTTATAGGTTGGCAAGTATGCCTTTGTATGCCTGTGTAAAAGACATCATTAGTAGAGATGTCAGTTTTAAAGCCAGTATAGGCTATCTCTATGAGCTGCTTCCCTAAAACCTACTTTCCATTCACGAAAAGAGCTTGTATTCTGCATGGTGGTGCAAACAAAATTTTTTTACAGTTAAAGATTGTATACAGGACAAAGAATTTTTTCACAGTTATCTGTAATTAAGTAAGCTGATGTAGAATGATTATATGATTTTCTGTCATTTTAAAACTTCAAGCAGGGAAAATTATTCCAATTCAAAATTTAATTAAGAAGGATTGTTACCTGTTCATATGGATTCTCAAAATAAATTTTCTGGAAGTGTCTTAGCTACCAGATTAGGTAGCAGCTGACCAAGACAGTATGAAAGACATTCAGTTTATCCTGCAGTAAATTTTTTTTTTTTTTTTTGATCTTCTGGCATGATGTAACTGTGGTATGTTTCAAGTTGCTGGTGCAGTAGTTCTCATCTTATGCACCCCTTTCAGCATTGCTAGAAAATTCGTCCGCCCTTTATAAAAGTTCATATATACATTTATATAGGCTTGGATTAATTTTTAATATGTTTTATAATTTAAACATTTTTAATGCATATTATAATTTTAAAAACAAAAAGTATAAAAAATGTTGATAAATACCAAAATGTAAATAAATGTAGCTTTTTACATTCATAAATTGAAATCAATTACTTAAGAGTTAAATAAAAGGCTGACTGCATTCTCCCTATACTAAAGCTATGAAATTCCTGCACTAGTCATAATACCTTTTTGAAAACTAGTAAAAATAGTAAAAAAAAAAAAAAAAAAAAAAAAAAAAAACATATTCAAAGTCCATTGAACTAACAAGTTTGCTGCTGGGTTCCTGGGTTGGCTGCCCAATCCCAATGTAAATTTCCTTTTTTTTTTTAAATTGACCAGAATATCTTGCTGTAATGATAATAAATCAAATAATATCAGATATTGTAACTGAGTGGAATCTAGGCGTAGCATGTGAATTTTCAGAGCAAATGAGGAATGTTCATCTGTGAAGTGACAAGCATTAAGAAAGCAAGTAGTTCATTGAACTGAGACGAGAACCTGATTGATTAGGCATAATGTGAGTTCTAAATGCAAGCATTTAGAGGAGGGTAGGGGAAAGGCTCTTTTCAGACCATACTTTTTTTAATGGGAAACTTTTTTTCTCAGATTGGATAATCAAATTTCTAATCCTTTTGAACTCAAATCTATGTCTGTGTGTGTATATATATATATACACATATAATAAGAATGAGAGTTAAGAAATTCATACAAAAATGGAGAAGAATAAAAAATGACAATTATTAAAATAAAGAAACAAAAATAAAGTAGTGCTACAAAACTGAAGGAACATCCTGGGTGGTCACCTACCCAAGTACTGACTACTTGAATTACAGCTTAATTTTAGAGTAAATTTACTAACTCAGCATTTCAGCTGTAAAATTTTAGGGAATAGTTGGACTCTCACTTTTCTCAATATTATTGTAAACTCTTATGAATATTTTTGCCATAAATTTGACTAGCAGGAAAATATTATATTCTTCATTAATTATTTTTATCTTCATTATTTATTATTATCATTTGATAGTGTGCCTTAATGAAAAATTTTGAAGTTGTTGAAGTTTACGTAAAGAACTTTTACAGAGATAACCCAAACAGTAAAAGCATAGATAATTATGAGATGCAACATGGTCTTATAAAAATTAATAATTTATGAGAAATAGCTAAAACATTGCTTTGAGCAGTGTAGAATAATAGTATTAGTTCAAAACTTAGGGATAAGGTTTTAATATGGGGCTACCATGTTAATTAATTATCAAGAATAATGTCAAAATACTTGACTTGCTTGGCCGGGGAAGCTTCTGTTTTGTCCATGTTGATCTCCATTTTCCATGTAGTGTGCCAGGATCAAAGTGCATGAATATGAAATTGTAAATATTGAATACCTGTGCTAACAGAAGGATTTTAGATAAGGATCACATTATCATCTGCATACATAGCTAGTGTTATGCATGTGACATATATCATTTGCATAAATATTGACCACGTTTGAAGTCAGTATCTGTACTTTTGTAGTCTGAGTCCTTTGAAGTCTGTCTAGAAGGAATTTCATATGCCTATATTAAAAAAAAAAAAAAAAAAAAAGCCATATCAGTTTTTTAACACCAGAGGCAACATATATTTCCTAGAAGCATTCTTTCATAGAAAGACCACTGAAACCTGGTAATTCAGTTTGTGTTTGAATCTAGGTAAGAGGGCTGGCTGCTTATGTGTTTTCATAATTTTCCATATATATATCATAAATATGAGTCGGTTTCCATTAGAAAATGTTGCACAAAAACAATCCTTCTCTCTTAGACATCTCTTCCCCCCTTTATGTGCTTTACTGTTTTAATTAAACGATTCTAGAACTAATTTTAAACATAAATGCCCATATGCTGCAGTGTTACTCAGGGTTCAAAAATGCTGTTACTAGTACCATGTTGTGCATAGTTCAGCCAACCAAAAGAAAGGTCTAAGTTCTTAAAAGAGTAATGTGAATGATACTGAATTTCTTTTTGGGTCTCCAAAATCAGAATTATTAGAAATGTTGAGCATTTCATAAAGTTTCAGAAATTTGTCTGAATAAATCTTTGGCACAATAGCAATGAAAGTGTCAACTGCCTCACTTATGCCAGATGAAATTGGGGGAGGGGGGTAGGAGTAATTTTATTTCTATATAAAATTTTCACACTTACCAAATGAAATGGAAGTAATTTTATTACGCTACTAATCATGCAGTTGTCTTGCTGAAAAAAAAACAATTTAATATGTAGCATCTGGTATATTTAATATGTAGCATTTGTTTTCACCAGTGGCAGTCAATGTGTGAAAGTTAATAAAGTAGTCGTTTATTGAAAAAATACTTAATTTATTAAAATTTTTTATTTTAGGCTAAAAATGTTACACTTACTAGAACAAAAACACCTTTAAGAAGTGTAAAAATCAAGCAGTTTGGTTCAAAAAGTAAGACTTCTCTTCTGATTGATTTTCCTATGAAAATATGAGTTTTTTTATGATTAACCAACATATTCTTTCTTCAATATTGTAAATTTAAGTGAAGTATTTAGTGAAGATTTTAAAATTTATATCTGTTGCAAAGTGATCCATAAATGTTGTTATATGATTAATTATATATTATTGCTTGTGTAATTTAATCACTGTTAATTAGTCACAGAAATTATTCCAATAAATCCAACAGAAAAAATGATAAAAATATGTATTTGCACATGCATATCCTTTGCTACATCATCAGGAAGAGGGAGCGATGTATGATATATACTTCAACCAGTTTCTAATCACGTTTTGGATTTCAATAAACACTTAAGTAATTTTGGAATACTTACTGGAATTAAATCTTATCATTAAGTAATTAAATAAGATTTAAAAAATTATTCTTTTGCATCTGTCTCAACATGATAGTACTACAGTAGTAACTAGAATAGTAACTACTACAAATAGGTAACTTGAAAAAGGAAAGATTAAGAAGAAAATTATACAACTATATATATATTAAATATTATAAATATATATATATATATATATATATATATATATCTATAATATATATCTAATATCTCTATATATTCATCTCTCTCTATCTCTCTCTTATCTATTTCTTATAGTATATAATATTTCCCTCTATATCTATCTATCTCTATCTCTCTCTCTCTCTGTCTAATATACACAAAATATCTAACCTTCATTGTAGAAATCTTGCTGATTGATTAATTTAATTTTAAGCAGTCAGTATCTACCTGTTCAAATAGATCTATTTTTTTTTACTAATATTGTATTTACTTATATATTTTTCCTTCTTATTTTACTAATTTTATTAAGAGTGCATAGTAATATTAGCATTGCCAATATCTAATAACATATCTTTGATTCTACTTGTATCTTGAATCTCGTCCACTCTTGTTGTCCACTGCTACACCCTAATCCTCAAATCATTTAATGCTGCTAAAATTGCTGTCTTTGTCCTCTGTAATAGCTTGTAAATCGTTGTCATCATCACTGTTGCCATCATTTTCATCATAACTCAGTCTGTCTTCCCATCTTTAGAACCATCATGAGCATTAGATATTCATGTTTTCTTGAAGCTTACCAATCAGAGCCCATATAAATCAAAGCCCTAAAATTCATAAATAAATCAATTAGTAAAATGAAACCAATTAATACATAAATAAATCCATTTAAAATTTTAGGGCATACCATTTGCTGAATGCCTTAAATAAGAAGAAAATTACTTGAAACTTAAAAAATTTTCAGAAGCTTAAGCTAAGCTAAGAGGAAAAATATACAAGTAAATATGGCACAGCAAAGTGCAAAACATTTAAATAATCAATTATTGAAATAATAAAGGCTGAGTATAAATTAAGGAAGAAAATTAGATAAATGTATAATTAAGAACTTTAAACAAATTATCTACAAAGTGATCATTACATGATCTGTATTTCTGATAAATATCCAAAGTTGTGTATAGCAAATTGAATTATGTTCAATGGTTAAAATTATTACTAATAATTGAAAATTAAATGATCTATTAATTTACAAAATACTAATTAAAATTTATAGAGTAAAAATAGAAAAGCTTTCTATAAATGGAAATCATCTTGCTGAATAAATTTACTGTTGTTATGGCTGTTTTTACTGTTTATATATATTTGCTAGTAATCTCTTCTACCCTATTTTCTAACAAATCCAATAATTGAATATACTGCAGTATGAAATGCATGTGAATAAGAGTGAGAAAATTAGAAGTATAAAATAAATCCGAATTTAAAGTTGTGTATACATTTTGAGACTAATGTAAGATTTGGCATCAAGTCTTTTTATCCACCCTAGTTACTGACCTTTGAGATAGGTAAAATAAAATTCTGCCTTAAATCATTTTCCATATTCAGTCCCTTTGGGATACATAAAATTGAGATATGTAAGATTTTGTCTCATTTCAAATTCCATACCCTAGATCCATATCCATACCTAAAAGCAAGGTATCGCCTAAGCTTGTTCATGTGTGGTTTAAATTAAAATGACCAACTAACATACCTGTTTAATGTTCAACCCTTGTTTTCAGTTGTTCTCTATGATCTGTATTGAATTTTTTTAATCTGTTAATATTGATGTTAACTTGTCCAGAATACTGATTGAACTAAACATTTTTTATTTTTGAATGTTGATTTAACTTGCACATGGAGACAACTAAAATTTTTTTTACTGTTCAGTGATCTCTTACAGACTATTTTTGATTACCTTCATTTTCATGTAATTGTAAACATTTGATCAACTGAATCCATCTATGCTATACACTTTTTTTTTCTCTTCACCTTTCTTCTTAACATATTTGGCACTTTTCCATTTGGCTAACACAAATCTCACCAAGCAGACTTTATTGGCGACAACAACACACAGTATACACATAAAAAATGTTAACAAATGTTAATTCTAAGAATTTTTTATTTTGAAGGCATAAACATTTTAATATCATTTAAAAATTTTGTAAAAAGACAACAAATAAAGGCAATAAATTTGTAAAAAGACATTAATTTAAGAATTTACTATAATCTCATGATTCAACATCCTGATTCACTGGTTCATATCACATGGCCCCAAGCGATCTCATCTCATGTAAACTACGTTACAAAAATCTAATTCTCTCAGTAATTATCTACATTAATTTCAAGTTAAATCTTATGGAATACAAGTTGAAATGCAAGAATTATTTCAATTCGTACGAATAGCTTACTCAGAAATTATGTAAAACCGCAGTGCTTTACTTCGCTAAAGCATTCTCATTAGAATTGATGAGTTTAATCCTTGAGTTCGTTTTTTCTATATTTTCGCCTTCGGATGAGCGGTGTGATTGCATCCTAATTGACTTAATTACCGTGAGGGGCCTTAGGGCATAAACCTGAACTATGTGGTAAAAACTCTATGTAATTGTATGCCAGTATTGAAAGAAGCAATCAATCCAACAAGAAATGGCTATTTGTTTTGAAAATGAGGCATAAAAGGTTACCAGCGAGGATATTCCGTTTGGCATTGGTTGTACCATTTTTGGCAACTTTATCGCCTGTGCCGGCAAAATGGAATATTACCATATATTTCTTTCTCTTCACCTTTCTAAATCATTTTCTGCAAGATGCTTTTGTCACTGTTAATATGGGAAATAATAACTCAAATGAACAATAACTAAAATAAGCAACTCATGACTCAAAGCTTATTTATTTCATAATATCTTAAAACTAACATATAAACAGTTTGCAGAATACAAATTGTAAAAATGATGGTCTGCTATGTTTTTATTTCATAATTTTTTGTTAATTTATTGCTTGTGCTTTAATTATGACATTCTGTTATTTTTCTTTGTTACATAATTTTCTCTTAATTTATTGCTTGTGCTTTAATAGTGACTAAAAAATTTCATTATTAAATGGATATAGAATCATCTGAACATAAAAGTGTTAATTTACCGTGCTGTCAATAAATACTTTTTTGCGAACGTTATTTCTTTTCCTATTTGGTTGATATATATGATTACGGAAAGCCTTGAAGGTTATATCCCTAAGGGAAAGGGATGCCTTCGTGGAGGACTTTCTAAGGGAAACTGGCTCGTATACACATTACACATGGGGGAAACTATGAAAATGCCCATGCAGCCAACCTGTTCATTCAGGAGGATTCGACTGAACTACCAGTGTTCAGCAACTTTACCACTTGGCTGCTGGTGCTCTTAATTACCAATTCCCATTTATGTATTATGCTGATTTTTATAGACACTGTAATAACAAGTAACATTATAAAATATGAAAAACAGAGCAAAGTTAAGGTCTTAAATTATTCAGTTTCTTATTTTATATACAAAATTTATATAATTATACAACATTTGGATTTTATAACTGCAGTTAGCTTTGTTGCATTAACATAATTTTGTATTAATATTTTGATTAATAAAATGAAATAAATAATAATAAAATGAAACTTATTTAATTTTCACTAAAGATTAAAAATTAGTTTTTACGCAAAGTATGCCATGGCTTGTGGGTACCCAAGAACACAATAATGGGAAATGAAACAACCATACAGTGTTCTTTATTATCCACAAGAGGAGTTTTTCCCCTGCCAAAGGCTTATTGTGTCCTACTTTTGGTAATCTTTCATTTATATTGTGGAAAATAAAATACTGAATCTAGAAATATCCTTTTAACATGAGAGGGCTATCAGATGAAGAAGGGTGCCTTCGTGGTGGATGATCAGCAAGAACATGGCTCATATTCACATTAATCTTGCGATAAACCACAAAAACTGCCATGCAGCCAGCCTGTTTGCCAGAACTGGAGCTAAATCAAGCTATTATTCTGTCTTACTTTGTTAATAATCTTATCCATGCTGGCCAAAATAATTTAATATTTAAAGTGTTCATAGAGGTGTAACATCTGAAAATTTGTCTGAATCACTGTCACAAGATACCATTTCTTTTGAATCATAATCAGAATCACTGCTTCCAGTTTTAATTAATATTTCAACCACTATCTGTTCTAGAAATCATCCTTATCCCAATAAGAATTTTTAAGTTTTTCCATGTGGTTGCAGTGCGCCTGCTATTCTTGAGAAGTGACTTCATCCATAAATTTTGTGTTAAACTTTTCAAAATTTCCAAGCTTAAGTTCCCAGTTACATTCCTTTCCTTGATCAGTCTTTTTGCTGATAACCAAACATATTCAACTGCATTTAGATCATGGTGGTAAGGAGGGAGACACTCAGCATTTTCTTTTATAATGTTGTCAATTTTATAGATTTCTTTTTTAGGACAATTGCATTCTATTAAGTTAAATAGTTATACTTTTTGCATTTTGGGATCGCAGCATATCGTCTTCCTCATCAAGCAGTTTACCATTGTTTGCTTTGTAGCATATTTTGTGGGTGTCAAATCTTCAACTTTTGTGTGATGCAGAGCATCATCCATGCATACTATACTTTGAGACTGTAAATTTGAAAAAAGCTTTACCAACACCCATTTTTCAAAATTTTCGTAGTTTATTTGCCCATGTTCATCAGCGCTTTTAGCTGATGCTTTATATGCAAGTTGAGCACCTGTAACAAATCCTGCAGAAGAGCCAGCATGGGCAACAATCAGTCTATTTTTTGAACTGACAATTCATTTGTGTACCCAAAACTGTATCATGCTGCCAACATAAATGTTAAATTGCTATCGATCCATGTTTCATCAATGTAAATGATGTGGCATTCACTTTCCCTGAATTTCCTCATTCCTCACACAAATAATTATTCCTCCAAAATACAATAACAGGTCTTTTGTTAATCCATTTCTTTTACAGAAATTCATTGAACACAAAACTTTACACAAAATGTCTTTTTGCCACGGGAAGTCTACTTTTTGCCTTAACACAGGCAGTAATTTCCATACAGATGACACTTTCTTTCCTTTGTTGTAAAAGTCTTGTATTCTCTGCTGTATAACACATTTGTCAAAATGATCAATTTCACATTTTCAACTGCGTTACATTTCTTTCCAGGTGTACTTAGAAATTTATTTTTCACCCATTGTCAATACTTCATGCTTAACTTTTTTAATTGTATGCTCCGATACTCCAGTAGCTTGTGATGTTCTCTTCAAAACCTGAGGAAGAGGAACTATTAAAGAGTTTGCCAAAGCTTCAGAAGCGCAAAATTCTGTGACATTTACACGATTTGACAAGCCTGAGACTTTAAAGGTTGACCTATCTTAAATTAGAAGGGCATTTTAAAAAATTGGCAATTATCAAAGCACTACAAAAGTCAAGCTGAATGGAAGCAAATTTGAGCAAATACAAGTACAAAAAATATTACAACAAGAATAAAAATAGCTAAAAGTAATAATGTAAGGCTTAAAAGAAAAGACACATTTATCTGGGATGAAATCAAGAAGACGATTGATTAACTCTTTTCACCTCAGCCAACAGTCGCCAAAAACAAAATAACAATAAAGCAACCCTTAGTTCATTCCTATTTGAAATATACTAGCCCAGTTACAATGGCGACCACCACCTGCAGACACTGTTGTGGTAGCTGTTCTCATAGACAGACAGTATTTTCAACTCAGTTAATTCAGTTCTCACTTCATGGCAAGGCAAAAACACATTAAAACTCGAAGTATCTTCATTAAAAATTGAAGAGTATAGAAAAAAATTAAACACCAAATATAGTTAAAATAATTTTTACAATTATAATTAGAGTTTCAGCACCAAGAAGGCAGATTTTTCAGTGCACAAAACTGAAAGTTTACTTTTGTTCCCACTTGGCAAAAAGACACTGAAGGTGAAGAAACTGACATAACTCACTGTTCTGCTAAGTTTCAAATGTAAACAAATATGGCTGCTCTGTTAGGCTTAGTTGCACTTAATCAACTTTTAAATTGTTGATAATTCTACAACTATTGCATGCAGATTAACTAAAGGTATAAAAACCTTAACCAGAACATAACAAAAACATATTGCAATCACTTTTAAAGGGGAAAATGCACAATTATCAACATACAAGAATAAAAAATCTAAGTCACTGTTGTGGTAGCTGTTCTCATAGACAGACAGTATTTTCAACTCAGTTAATTCAGTTCTCACTTCATGGCAAGGCAGGAACACATTAAAACTCAAAATATCTTCATTAAAATTGAAGAGTATAGAAAAAAATTAAACACCAAATATAGTTAAAACAATTTTTACAATTATAATTAGAGTTTCAGCCAGCGCCAAGAAGGCAGATTTTTCAGTGCACAAAACTGAAAGTTTACTTTTGTTCCCACTTGGCAAAAAGACACCGAAGGTGAAGAAACTGACATAACTCACTGTTCTGCTAAGTTTCAAATGTAAACAAATGTGGCTGCTCTGTTAGGCTTAGTTGCACTTAATCAACTTTTAAATTGTTGATAATTCTACAACTATTGCATGCAGATTAACTAAAGTATAAAAACCTTAACTGGAACATAACAAAAACATATTACAATCACTTTTAAAGGGGAAAATGCACAATTTACCAACATACAAGAACAAAAAAACTGAGTTCACTGAGCTGAGTAACAGAGTGGGTACATATATATAATATATATATATCTTTTATGCAGCCAATTGAAACCAAAAACTGAAGTGCACAACTGCATGTTATAGCAGTTGTATAAAAAAAATTTCAATGTTCTGAGGCTACTCGTCTTGGAGTTTTGTGAGATACGTACATACGTAAAGACGTTACAAAAAATCTTTTCTGGATACATTTTAAATCCTTTTTCAGAAAAAGAGTTCTTTATACTGTCCTTACATACAAATGTCATGGAAAAACCATTAAACTGCATTTTGTATCAGTCAAAAATGGATATTTTCATTGAAATATGATACCCGAAATTTTTTGCGATTGCAATACTTTCTTTACCTTGTACATGGAAGTAAAAAGAGGATGAATTCATTTCAACATAAAAAAAGCATATTTGCTTATTATCAGCAGAAAGGAAATATTTAATAATTTCTTGCGATGCAATGATCTTTGTATTCCTCCATCTTATATTTTAATTAATGTTTCTTTCTTCAGAACATATATTTTAGTCTTAGTATTAAATAGTTACAATTAATAGTACAATAAATTATATATCTAAAGACGTAATATGTTTTTGTATATGTAAGATAAAAAAAAGGGAAAGCAAACTTCTAAATTTTATTGTCTATAACCACTTTTAGTTTTATTTAATGTGTGGACTTCCTTTCTCTGTCTTAGAAATAGTGTCATAAGTCTAAATTGCATCATTGAAATTAATCATGCGGTCTTACGTAATGCTTAATGCAGATGCCTCTTGACCAATCGCCAAATTGTAAACCAAAACTAAACACTGAAACTTTTGACTCCCTTCTTTCTATGAACTGATGCTTCACTTTTGCTTGTGCTTTCCTCTTGACCAGAAGCTTTTCTGCAGTAATGTATGAGCTGCTATATTCGCTTCTATGGCAATAATATCAAAAACTGTAAATGTTCTTGAATAAGCACAAGTAGAGTGCCATGTAATTGTGGCCACAAAATGTGACTTTAAATAAAAAAAGGAATTTAATCTGGCTCGACTGCTTCTTTTTCAAAATAGATGGACGCTATAAGCATTAAGTATCTACGCCATCAGTATTTTTGCGCATTTACATTTCAGCGTTCTTATATTAGTGCATCCAAAATTGTGCTATTATTACACACATATATATATATATTTATATATACAGTACAAAGTCTGTAATCTGGACTTGTTGGGACTTCAGTGATTCCGGATTAGGGGTTTTTCCGGATTCTAGATTATCAATTTAAATCTGGTAAGATAGCATGCAGAAATTATACAAATTAAAAATATTAAACCATAATTTATGAAATAAAGAGCAATTATGATCTAAAGGGTATCATCATTTACAAAAGAAAAAAAAGCTTAATATTTATTTGTTTACTTTATTAAACATTTCTTTCAAATGTAAGTTGTTTAAGTTGCTTTGTTTTTTGTGCTAAACGCACATGCATAAATGCATTACGTGCATGTGTAAAGCATACAAAATAAAGTGTGTGCCTTTGAGGTCCGGATAGATCATTCCGGGTAATGGACGTCTGCATTACGGACTTTGTACTGTATAATAAAATTAAGTTTTGTTAGCCTCAAGCATCTAAATTTAATGCATTGGAAAGCCTATATTTTATTTTTATTCTTTTTGTAAATTTTAATTTAAAACACATATTTTATAAAGGGATAAAGATTTACATGCCTTGAAACTGTAGCGTATACATTGGCTTTTCTTATAATAATTTGCTTGATTCATCATTTGTTTACAGCATTCACTCATACTTTTCATGTCATGTTATATTTATGCCTTCATTATTTTAATAATTTTGTTAAGGATATAAAAAATTTAGATTTTTTATATTTTGTATTACATTTTGACAAACGTAAAAGTTAAATTTTCTGTTCTACAGAGAAAGCTAAACCTGTAAGACCGACTGTTTCATCTGAATCTGCAAAGTCTGCTGTTAAATCTGAAGCTATAAAGTCTTCTGTTAAATCTGAATCTTTAAAGTCGGCTGTTAAATCTGAGTCAAAGTCTGCCACTAAGCATGGATCTCAAAAGCCTGGCACATCCAAGTCACAAAAACCTAACATCACACCAGATTTGGAGAAAATTAGTAATGTTACTGAACCTTCTCCTGTTGCATCTGAAGTAGAAACAGAGGCTAAAGGAAGCATTATGAAAAAGGTAGTTGCTTCATTCCTGAAATGAGTGCTACTTTCACATAAAACTTTTGTTATAAAATAAAAATTACAATTATTGGCTTTATTTCAGAAAGTTTTTTGAAACTTCTAAATACCACATTTATTCTAAAAATTTTATAAATTTGTTAAACCTATTCTGTTTGAAAACAGTATCAAAAATAAAATTAAAATTGCGTTATGTTTTAGAATACAAGTATAATGTACTAAAAGATTTCTAACTGAATATTGATAAATTGCATATATAGTGTGTAGAGCTAAGGCTGATTGAACTACTATTTATATAGTCAAAAGTTTGTCATCAGTTTTTAAATCACTTCATGATAAGCTGTTAATTAAAAATTTGTAAGCAGACTGTTTGTGAATTATCATAAAATGTAGGAAAGCAGTTTTTTCTTTTTAAATTCAGTTTAGACATTTTTTTTTTTAATTTAATGTTTAAGTTTTTTTTTTTTTTTTTTAATGTGCTAACCTTTTGAGTGTAGGGCATAAACTCCAGTAACAGCCTTAAAAAGACAATATTTCTTGTATCTGATGCTTTTCATCCTTCAGGAATTCCCTTGCTGTTTGCAACAGTGGTTCTCCTAAACAGTTTGATTCATGCCAAGAGGTGTACATTTAGTTTCCAAAAAGAAGGAAAATGTTAGGATTATTGACTTAAACTTCTAGTTGTTTTTCCTTATGGAGCGAAAATTTAAAGGTGCATCTGTTTCCAGATCAGATTACTCAACGATGCACAGAAGGAAATGTATATTTATGTTATAGAAAATATTATTTTATTTCTCCTTATTATAGCACACAGCTCCCTTTAAATTTTTTTTGTCTGGATTTTTAAAAAAATTACCTTTATTTATCTTTCTAAATAAAATGTTAATAAGAAATAGTTCTACTATATTTTTATTTAAAGTTACATTATAAAACTCCTCAGTACTCTATTATTTCATAGATATTTAGTCTTTTAGATTTATCAAGTTTTTATCTTACTCTCGTTTTTTTTTTTTTTTTTTTTTAAATATATAGAAATTACTTTCTGGAGATTTTATTAACTTATTTAATTAAATTTACAAGTTTTCATAGTTTCCCGAGCCAACAAAATATTATGCATATGTTAAAATAAACGCAAAAGATACATATTGTCAAATTTTGTTGTAATTTTGAGTTTGTTTTGTACTATATATTATCAAAAATATCTGAAATCATAAAATTTTCCTTCTGGAAGTAATGGTTAAAAAATATATGTTTAGTGCTACAGAAACGATTACAAATTTAAACTGTATGGAACTTTGCAGAAAGTTAAAATTTTAAGTCTAAAATAAATGTCAAAAATTTGCATGAAAACAATGCATTAAAAATTAGACAATGTGATATTTAATTCAAAAAAGACTTCATTGTATTATATGTTGTTCCTACTGCAATCTTCCATTACTTAACCTTTCGGTCCCATAGGGACGTATAGATCCCAATGCATACCAAAATTAGCTCCCAAAGGGTTAACTGCTTCTAATTAAGTTCAAATTAAAAAGTAATTTGTAGTAGAAGGAATTCAGTTTGGTAAACTATTAGCATACTTAATAGTACAAAACCACACTGGAAAGCATCATTATTAAATCATGAATTTCCTTTGACCTTTTTTTTTTTATTACTTTCACAGCCTTAAACATTGCAGAAAGTTAATAAAATGCTTAATAAAAGCAGATATTTTACTGTGTTATCAAAATTGCAGAATTTTTTTTTTTTTTTTTTTTTTTTAGAACGAAAGGGTTTTAAATCAGAAGGGGATATTTGTGCAATGTATACAATTTTTGAAAGAATGATAAGGAAGCTGCAAAATAGTTAGTCATTGTCTTCAATGCCTTATATTATTATTCTGTGTTTTATGATATTACATAATTTTTGCACTTTCCAAGCTGTTCATAAAGCTTTCATATTTCTTCTTCTTCAGTCATCTTTTCTGTTTTGCCATATTGCTATGCAGCAAAGCAAAATAACACCAAGAAATCTTCCAAAATTTTGGAATATTCTGTTTGAATGCAGGTCTCGTTTCATGATTTACGAATGCAGTCATCACAAATTCTGAAGTTGCAAGAAAGAAAAGGGAAAGATAGAGAAAAATCAGAACCTTAATACAAAGAGTTTTGATAAGTGGTTAAGTCTCCAGATACTTAGTTCACTCACCTTTTTAGCTCGGAAATGGGAGAAAATAACATGACCATTAAAGGGGACATACCCGTCCTTTAACACAGGAAATAACTAAAGCCAATGTAATAGCCATCTTGGCTCGGACAGACTAAATTAAATTTGTATGAAAGTTTTAATTCATTTGTACAGAAACAGTGTACTCAATGCAATATTCAACAGTGCAAATTCTTGTGTACTCAAATATATGTGTGTTACTCACATACCTGAGTTGCCACGTAAATACTTTTGGGAAATATTGTGTGGCATTGCATCATCAATACTTTTTCACAACTTTTCAGTAGGAGTGTGGATAATCAGAAAATACCTTAAATTATTATCTGAATTTGGAAGTTCAGAAATTAAAATCAAAGTTTTTCTGTAGCTAGTTTTTAATAATTTTAATACTTCTTGTGTTATAAACGTATTGGGGGGAAAACATAATATTGGATGGTAATTTTTCAAATCTTTTATTTTAGCAGTTTTTATAAAAATATGGGTGTGTGTATATATGAGTTATCTATATTACTGAATTTTTTTCAGGATGTTGCTGAAAATACTGTTTCTAATGAAGTTAGTCAAGAAAATAAAGAGGATGAAAAGTCCAAAGGTTAACATGCTTCATTTAGTGCAGTTATTATTCATTCATAGTTCAGTATTTTTATATATATGTTGCTAAGCTATGGAATATTTTACATGTTATGTAAAATGAACTATGGAAGGCTGTACATACTAATACAATTTAGTGGAAAGTAGATATCTGTTGTCCAAAATGTAAACTAAACGTCTAAAGCTGTACATAATTTATTCCAATGGTTAAACGGGTTGCGCTCCTCAATAAAGGAAGAAAAACACATGCCTGCGGGATGAGCAGATTTTGCTACATTTGAGTTGTACATGGAAATCGCGGGCTGAGCAGCCAGAGGGTTCATGCATTACATTATCGAAGTTCCTTTTTTAGCCAATGTATCAGCTTTTTCATTGCACATAATTCCACACTTGGCTGGAATCCATTGGAAAGAAATTCTGTGTGTCATTCAGCCTTAAGCAAAGGCATACAGTCTAAGATTCTTTAGGAACTACTTTTCAGAAGATTTCAGATTTTTCAGAAGGGTTTGAAGTGCACTTTTAGAATCTGACAATATGACTGCCTTTACAAAAGAGTAGCTATGAATCGACAGTTGTTGAACAGCCACAGCAATAGCTTCGATTTCCCCATCAAAGGTAGAACTAAGAGGGCCCATTGGAAAGTAGAAACTAAAAAGCTCGCTATGGATACCTGCTCCAACACTGTGCACTGTCTCTAACATAGAGCTGTCAGTGTATACACGCAGCCACTCATTTTGAGAATAGCGAACCTCAATAGTTCTCCATTACAGTAGATCTAAACTGTAAATCGCTCATTTCGTTTTTACAACTCTTTGTATAAGATCAAGATTTATATTGAAATAAAAAAAGTCCAGGGCACAGTGGGGAGGAGATAAAATTAGATAATCTCAGCTTAAAGAAAAGCCAAAGCATCAGATTGTCTCTGGGCAGCCTGGATAAAGTCAATTTGAGTTTTAAGATTTATAGAAATTTCATTATTATACTAGTTCCTTCAAAAAGAGTTGTTGGGCAAACACATAATCTTTTGGTAAGAAGCTCTCTATATGCATGTTGGTCAGGAGAAACTTGTTGCTCTTTTCATGGATTTAATTATAAGATTTGTTAAACCTGTGATTATAAGATTTTTTTAACCTCTTTGTTAAACATAGGCCAGTGGTGAGATGTATGAATTTTTAATGTTGGCTTTCATAGAAGGAAAAAGTAAAAAGATGATCCTAATGTACTGTTGTTAAAAGATGATAAAACTATAGCTTACATTTTGTAAAGGAAGCTCAGAGCTTTACGGATAAGTCACTTTTGTTCTAATGTAAAGAAATTTTAGAAAGCAGATTATGACTACATTTTAAAGAAAATGTCCGTAAACAGTGAATTTTTGAAGCATGCAAAGTTTTTTTTTTTTTTTTTTTTTTTTTTTTTGAAGGAAGGCTTTTTGTCTTCTGTTCAATACATTATTTTCTCTGAAATTTCGAAAATCATTTAAAAACCTGTCTGTTGATATGACCAATTTGAAACTGAATTTACAGCTTGCTAATTTTTTGATTTTGAGGAAGAAGTTCTTGCTGCTCTTTAATTGAGATAGCATGGCACAACATTTTAAGATTGCAATATAAAAGTGGGGTGTATGAGAGCCCAACATAGTAATGCTGAATTGTTAATTAGTACCTCAGAGTAGTGCATTGACTGAAATAATTTTCAGTATTATGCAGAAGAATCAAGCTGATTAGACTCAATTTATCCACTGGCTTACTGAATGCACTTTCTCTGCAGAAAGTGAAATCATTTGCTTGCAACATTGTTTGTACCCATAAGTTTAGCCATGAGAAATTGGCTGCAAAAAGTGGGCAGCAAAGTTGACCTTGTCAGTTCAGGAATAGTTACCTTAACAGTTAAATGAATGTTTTGTTTTTATCAATTTTTTAGTATGTTGTTCATTGTATAGAATTATAAGTAATGCACCTTTTATGTCATGCAACATTTTATGCTCTTTAATACCTAATTTTCAATCTGGAGAGTATTTATGTATCGAGATCATAATTCAGATAAGTATTACTGATAGTTCTCAAAGGTTGGCATTTCTATATTAATTTGATATTGTAAGTTCTCTTCACTCTCCCTGCTCCTTTTTTTCGTTTTAAACCTTGGATTTAAATGACAAATATATGTGAAAGTATAAATTTTTTCTTTGATTATGTACGTGTTATACCTTATGTTATATGTGATTTAAAGTGTGAATTTTTCTACACTTTTATATAATGAATACTGTGTAGCTTAAAGATTTCTTTTTTCTTACTTTTAAAAATGAAGTTATAGAAACAAATAGTAATTTATATTGTGTTGAGTATTTTTGTATTGCATTAATGTGATGGCATTGTTGAAATTTAATTAAAACAATCAACATAAGTATTAGAAGCCTGACATGTCATTGTCAGGAACACATATCTGCTTGACTAGTGATATCTGTAGGATAATCAGTAGTGAATAAAACCATGCACTTAATAATATTATTTATTTTCTAATTAAAAATTCTAGGAGCAGTTTTAATATTATCAGGAAACTGGTAATATTTTCAAAATAATTAACAGGTGGCATTTTCAAAATAATTAATGAAAAAGTAACATTTTCAAAATAATTCAAAAATAACTCTTAAATTTTATATATTTTATCTTTTTCTTGATTATTTAGCTGCAAAGAAGACCTCTCCTGTTAAAAAAATTGTGCACACTCGCAAAGGCAGACCTTTAAGAGTTTTTCCTAAAAGTAAGTATGATCTATTCATTTAGTGAATTCTTAATTTCTATGTTTTATTATAATTTTACAACTTTTTGTAGCATAACAAATTTAAAAATTGATCAGGAATTATGCCTTTGGTTAACTGATTTATGTGAATAAAACATTAGCTGCATGCTGAAGCATTAAAAGGCGCACATAGTTAAAATGAAATTAAAATAAAATAAAATATCCTTCGTTGACATTTTAAATCCGTATTTAACTTTCATTTAAATGTGGTTAACTGAGAGCTTTATTTTGTTTTAATCAAATGCACATTAAGTGAATGAGAAAGCATATTTTTAAGTTGATGCATTGCATTAATGAGCAAAACAGTTATAAACATTGTTTTATTTAATTAAAATAGTGCAAAATTTTTAAGGCTTAAATCCAACAAGGAAATAATCTTGTAAATAAACAACATTTTAATATTTATTTTTTTTTTTTGCTGACTACCACTTTTAAAGAGGTTACAGTTTTTTTTATCAAAGTAATTTTTCCCTCCTAGTAAACCAAAGTATAAAGAATGCCAACTTTAGTGCACTTCAACGTCTGCATATATTGTTATTTGGTGCCTCTGACAAGGTATATATTTTTAATGCAATCTACTTATTTTATTTATTGAGTTTTAAAATCTTTGTTAAATTTTGTATTTTATCCACATTTGTATTTCTTATGGAATATAGACTGCACATAATGATGTATATACTTTAGTGAGTTGCAAAATATATTTTATTTTTGGAAATGTATAATTTTTGTAGTTTGATGTATCTTTCATAATAGTAAGGTTAATTCAATATTAATTGTTCAGTCTTGAAATAAAAGTGGGGTAGTTTTTTTTTTTTTTTTTCCTGCTAATAATAAGTAGATGATGGTTAATTTGTGGATATTGATGGAAAAACGAAATCGAAACTAAACAAGGTTAATTCAATATTAATTGTTCAATCTTGAAATAAAAGTGGGATAGTTTTTTTTACTAATAATAAGTAGATGATGGTTAATTTGTGGATATTGATGGAAAATCAAAATCGAAACTAAACAGCTAGAGCATTTCACAATTTAAATAAATGCTTACATTGGTCTTGAAAACAGCATATTTATTTTTATATCACTTCCATACTTATTTGCAACATATTACTTTTTTTTTTTTTTACATAAAATACTATAACAAGCTTTTTAAGGAATAACGCTTACATAATGCTTATCATGGAACACTCCAAGTAAAATTTTTTTTTAATTCAACTCATTGTTGCCATACGATGAATCTTAATAAGTATGCAGAAACATTACATCATGTTGCCACTGAGGAAATCTTAATAACTGTATAAAAACATTAGATTATGTTCCACTATAAATTGTACTTTTATATGAACCTTGTGCTTAATATGAAATTATAATTTTATCCTATGTAGAATAAAATAGCAGTACTAAAACGATGTTGCTGCATTTACTATAATAACAACTTCATCAGATTTAAATAACTGTTCTTTAAAAAACATTTATTCTATAAAGTTATTAAAAATATCCTGAACAGTTTTATAAATTTTTAAAAACATATTATTCAGCCTTATAATCTTCAGAGTATGTTTCCACTTTATTTGAATAGCTATTAAATACTTTGTTTAATATGATTTTCAAAAAATTGCTTGCCATCTAGACCATTATAGCATAGATTCTAGGCTCTTTGCAGTGGTAAAATGACATCATGCACACATGGCAAACAGGCTGTGAAAAACCCAGTCAGACTACCAGTAAAGAAAGTCATTTGACCTGTCAACAAGTAGCATCAGTGAATGGTTCTTTGTCCACTGCCATAGGTGGCATTTTTATCACAGAATCTTGTTTGTGGCTGAATCATTTCCAGCAGTTTAGTGGGAAGAATATCTAGTGTCACAGTGTTTGTTATCTGTTCTGGCATTGAGAGCCTGTCATCCTCTTCATTTGCAATGGTGTCGTGAACAAAAAAAAAAAAAAAAAAACGGACTGGATACATCGGCAGAAAACGCATCTTCTTATATGAAAATTGCACATATTCTTTGAAACCAATAATGATAATTTTTAAGCATGAAGGCCTGGTAAGTAGCACTTCAATTCTTTCTTTGCTGTGGAGTAGCATACTTTCCCAAATGCAGGGGTTTGGTGCTGGGGATTTGCCTTCGATACCGGAATTCCGGGGATCTCGTAAAAGGATAGTAGGAAATTAATGAATTATTTATTTGATCTGGGTAATTTGTTTGTTTGAAAGCAGAAAGCAAGGTCAGTGTGTGTGTGATGACTTTCCTTTCTTTCTCAAAGGTGTGATATGCGTGAAAAGGGGGAAAAAACTTCTTTTTTGTTTCTTTCCTTATTGCGAGTTATGACATTCCCCGGTTCTCGGACATTCTCTTCGATTCTTTTCGGCAAAAACAAGAGGAGCGGCAGAAAAAAGGGAGAGACTTCGTTCGACCAGATGTGCGATACGACTCTGGCTTCAAAGGTCTTATCTCTCCTGGCATGTGCCAAATAAGTAGAGACGGGGGATTTTCACCGTATTAGTATTTGTCATTGATCGCTTCTCAACTTTTTTTTTTCTCCGCTGTGTAAAATTCATTCATCATTGATGCACGTAAATTTTCGTTGTTATGAAATATTTTATTTATGTACGCAAGAGAATTTCACTATGAAATTTCCGATATAAAGTGATATATACAATAGAAGAGGGGTCGGAATGCATTTAGGTGAATTGGATTGAAGGAGTGGTAGGGGATCCATCGGCACATGGTTGCAAGAAAATAAATGTTGCTGGACAAGCATATTGTGTTTTTTGTAACTCACTTGAAGTATGGTGGGGAAGGATCAAGGCTTTCACAAATCATTCTAAAACTGTGATGCACATAAAAATTTCAAAGGCTTCGCATCAATGAAAATTCAATGAAGTAATATGTAATTCAAAAATACTGACTTTACTGGAGACTGAGCTCGGCCATTAGATATAGTGACAAGAAAGCACGGCAAGAGTATTTAATAATTAATTTATGCCGAGATTCTCTCTTCAATTAGCTCCCAATTTAATGACTGCCCCGTTGAGCGCGATCAGTCGCCGAAACGTGGAAATGTCCAGGACTACTGCATGTTATAATAGATGAAATATGGGCTCACAAAAAACTATTAAGAAAAATATCATTAAACTTTAAAGGAGACTCCATTTTCTAAATTTGGATGAAAGTACTAGCAATGCCCGAAAAGTATTACTGGCAATATGGTGCAGTTTATGACAACAATCAAAATTGAAGTTTGTAGTTCATCAGTTTGCATCTCTAAAGATGGAATCTTGCAATTCAGAAGCGGTTTTAAGCAGTTGTTAAACTATTGAAGATAATAATATCCATGGGCAAACTAATTAGGTATTAATGACTCATGTAACACCATGCGTGGAAAAAAAAAAGGATGTTGAAAACCAGACTACGATCAAAACAAAGCACCCCACTATTAGATATGATGGTGACACATGTCACACAGCTAATAACTGTGCCAAATTGCTTCAGTTTTGATAGATACTTAGAAGATTTGTTTGATGACATCTAGTTTTTGATATGAAAAGCTGCAGTTAAAAGAAAAATTTTTTCAAAATTGTGAATCCCTTGCCATCAAAAATTAAGCCCTGAAGAGACCCGACCATAGGTGGGTGTACATTTTATGTGTTTTAGAAAGAATCAAAGATCTGTGGGATGCTCTTATTGCATTTTTTCACTACTTGGATAAAATTGATAAAGGGGATTTTTTTTAAAAACGTATACAATAAAGAAATATTCTGCAGCTCAGAAAAAAAATTGTTGAAGGGGGTATTCTTACTTGCTCCCAACACTCACAAAGGATGCTTTAGCTCGTAAAAAAGAATACTAAATGGGTTATTTGTTATGCAAAACAAAACTTTTGCATATGGCATATATCGCAGTATTACCAGAATTCAACACATATTAAATTATTTGAAACAAACAAACAAAAAAAAAAAAAAAAAAAAAAACAATGCTTATTTAAACATTCCAGTATTTATAAATGATGCAAATTTTCTTTTTTTATGAAGCCAGAAAATATAGAGGGCACATCTATATTATTTTAAAGGTGATGTCACAAATCCGACTTCATCTACTAGCAAGTAATCCTGGTGAGAAGCTTCCACTTCCTGAAGAAATTATCGAAAAATCATCCATCGCAAAGAATTCCAATTTCCTGATGAAAGTTAACAATACAGACAGCATATTGAAACGAAAAATTACCCCAAATTCATCTAATTAGTTCCGCATTAGATCCAGAGCTAAGAGGGTAAACCCGTACAATTAGCTTTTAAAAAATATTTCATGCCACATTTTAGTGATAATGAAAAGTCAAAGTAGAAGCTGAAATAAGGTTATAAAGAGTGATATTGATATCACAAAGAAATGCTCCACACATCTGAGAAAGGGAATCAAGTCAAGTGTAATTGATAATATGGTCTAAAGTTTTTTTAGATAATTTCACAAATGATATAAGTTCCTACATTTACTAATGGTCCAAGCCTGCTTAGCTGCTTCCATGGCCCCTTGGGAAGTGCCTTCACCTTAATGTATACACTTGTCACGACTAGAACCTCTCTTAGATTGATTCCCTAGATGCAGTGCAGACTATTAATCTGATTCAGGCTTCTCATGAAATATGGCTCAAAAAATCTATGACTGATCCAATTCACAAAGATCTCCCGATATGAACAGAAGTGGAAAACATATCAGAGGACTTAAAACTGTTTCAGATGATGACCTATAAAAAGTCTCCGAAAAATACATTAGCAGAAAGCAAAACGTTTCATACCTGCATGTGCAGCTCGAGGAAATTTCCAAATGTAAATGAGAAATAAAAGTCAACCTTATGCAATATGAAGTTCACCACAAAAGAAAGACAAGCCCACAAACATCGAAATAAAAAAGCAGCAGAAATTAGATAATTTTTTTTAAGAATTAAGTCAGGTAATTTAAAATTTACATAAATGTAGTAGTTATATGTTTGAAAAATTTATGGTTTTTAATTTGCAAAAAAAAAATAATTGAACTTTTAATAGGTCATTCAATACTTCATAATTGAATTTTCATTTCTCTCCCCCTTCGAAACTCAAAATGTCGGTAGTAAATCCGCTATAAAGTTTTCAGGGTTTTTGGGGTCCACACAAACACCCTGAAATGCGAATAACTAGAAACGTATGATCATCTAGTAGTGATATGAAAGGTGCTAAAACTCGACAATGTGTAGGGCATCCTATGGTCATATTTGTTGCCTCCTGAAGCTCGACTTTTCACACTTTCAGCAGGATATGCTTGCATACATACAGCAAATCTTTCCTGAAATGAGTTTACCAAAATGACCTGCTTTGATCACTAACCAGTTGAGTATTTATGAAATCAGCTTTGATAGTCTATAAGTGTGTAGGATTTATTGGCCTATAAGCAGTGAGTGTGAATAGTGAGTTGCAAAACATCATATAATACATGCAAGCATTCATGCCACTTTATATTTTTTACTGTATTCTGGCTAGAGATAGACCAGCTATATTGGGTAATATAGTTTCCTTTGAAAGTGTTTTCTCCTATGAATTTATTTTTTCACTGTAATGTTATAATTGTTATGTATATCAAAATTATATCCATGCAGATAAAATTGTATTACATTTCAACAACGTTTGGACCTGATTAATAGTAAATTAATGTTCTTCCTCATTTGTAACAAAGAAATAGTTGAATTTTTGCCTATGTCTCATTAAAAATTGTGTGCATTTTATTCATGTCTGAAGTCATAAATAACAGATTTATTGTTTTGTAATGTTATAGGCTGAAAATTTGAAAGGAAACATTTTAGCCTTTGGTGGCTTCCCATTTCTAGAAGGCTCAGAAGAATGGAAGCAAAAGCAATTCTTGCTATCTCTGTAAGCATTTCGAATTTGCATAAATACTATATTTTTTGTTGCAAATTTATTAGCAATATTTGTTGCATTTTGCTTTCCCTTGCACTATTTCACTTAAGTGCTTATAAATAAATTTTACTTATCTAAATTAAAAAAATTCTGAAAATAAATTTTTCATGTGTTATTATATATTCAGTCATGAAGTAAATATATATTAAAAAAATTTATATGAAATGCATAAATGATAAACGTCATCCATTCTTCGTCTCCCGAAAAAATAATTAAAATGCAATTTTGCAGGATATTGCATTATATGTTTCTTAAAATTTAATTTATTTTACTTCATTTTTACCTTCAGTTTTCAGAAGCTGTTGTTTGGAGTTATTTGAAATAGCTCTGCCTTCTTTAATTCAGATAAATAAGTTTCTGCTATATAAAATGTTAGTTTCTGTTTAAAATTTAATGAGTGATACTCTTTATACTTTTTTAAGCTTGGCTCAAAATACTCTGCATGAATACTTGAATTTACTATGTATAGAACATGGTGATGATGATCAGCCCACAATGATTAATAAACTGATGAAATTCCTTGCAGCACCAAATGAAACTACTCAAGGTGAAGATTTATATTTGTTAACTGTACTCTTGAATTTACATTATGTCATCTATGCACAGTAATATTATAATTATTTATGTGGTTTTAACTTTTGTAATGAGTGTATTTCTTGCTTTTTATTATTTTGAAAGAAGCTGAAGCAACAGATATTGAAACTATGGCTGTTTCCCCTGAACTCACTAATAAGAAACCTGTGCAGCAACCTGTAAAAGGTATTTTTTAACCATCTTATGCATAAATGCATGAATTTTAAGATCAGGATGTCAGTTGTTAAAAAGTTTGTTAATGATAATAAAATGTTTTACAGTTGAGCCGTCCAAGAAAAAAGGGAAGAAACTGAAAAAGGTATGATCATCTTTATTGTTTTTAACATGTTTAATAGTAATTGTTTTACATAATTAAATGTTATATTAATTTAGTAGGTCTGGGTAGCATTTATTTTGGGGTCTTTATATGTATGCATGTGCTAGTGATAAATTTGGATGGTATGGCGTGAGTAGAAGACCCCAGTTAACTCTGAAAGTCATAGCTGATAGGTGATAGAAATGACAGAATGTGCCTTAACTAGATGGAATTTTAGAACAACTACAAATAACCGTGTAATTACAGCATGATTTTATTTCTTGATGATTAATCTATGAAGACATAGCTTCTTGATTGGCACAACACAATGGGTGTAATCTGAACCCCACAATATTATAAATAAATTACAATTTTAATAAAGTGATTAATTATTTGCTTGTGCAGCAACAACAGGGAGAAAGGTATTGTGTACTAAAGTGGCTGGAGTGTTATTTATATGCTTGGCTCCTTTGCTTTAATCCTGAAGGGTGACTGAGCAGGAGTTTACAGGAATGGGGAATTACTATAGGAAAATTATTGCCGCAAAAATGCGCAGCACAGATCCTTTGAAGGGGTTGTATCCAAATTTATGAATTAAAAGTTTATCAAATAAGTTAATAAATGTCCTTCATATTGTATATTGTACATATATAAATAAATAGTTTTTAATTTTCTTTGGAATTTACTGTATAGATTTGAAATTTAAGTAATTTCATGTAGCATCATACCATGCACTAAACGTTTTCTAAAAAAAAGTTGCTGTGTAGACGTGAGTATAATATGTACCATGTTAGCCCAAATATAAAATGTTCGCCTGTCTTCTTAAAAACCTAAGAAATGGCCACTGCAATCTAGCAATTTGAAAATAAATTTCCAAGCAACCAAAAACTTGATAGTCTGGAGTTCCTAAAATGCATGCTAATAATCATAGCTGTTGTTCTGTGGCTTTACATTTTCCTTCCAATATATTGTTTTATGGTTCTGTACTAATATTGTTTAACATATGTGTAGGTTTCTCCCCCCCAAAAAAGGATAATAATATTGATTATTATTATGATATTATGTAGCATATTCAAGAGATTAAAAGAATTAAAATACCAATGGAATAATTTCATTACGCTGCCTCAGTCGGGGGTATGCAGTTTAAAAAGTCATATAATGTCACTTCTTACCAAGTAAATTAAGGGACAGTGTGCAGTTTAAAAAGTCATATAACGTCACTTCTAACCAAGTAAATTAAGGGACATAATAATATGCATAGGTTATATGGAAAGTAAAGTTCAATTTCTTATAAAACATAAACCATCATAGATTTTTTTTATTTAATTCCTTTTATGTTTCTGCGTTTTTCTACATAGTTTCCATGTTTGTTTAAACATTTATCATAACATTATACAAGCTTTCATATGCCTAAGTCATAGACATCTGCCACATGTGGGGATAACCAGTCTTGAACTGCTTCTTTTACCTCATCATCTGTGGCGAAGTGTTTGCCGCTGAGGAAATCCTTTAGATCGCAGAACAAGTGAAAATCTCTCATCACCAAATCTGGACTGTGCAGTGAATGATCAGTCTGAAAGATCTGATTAGATTTTGGGTGTGAATGGCAGAGTGTTATCTAGAGTGTTATCTATTAGCAAAAAAACTCCAGATGTCAGAAGGTCACGTCAGTTATTCTGTATTGCATGCCTAAGTTCAGTCAGGGTAGCACAGTAAGCGGCTGCATTTATTATTGCCTTTGGTGCAGAAACTCAATTAACAAAACTCCATATCTATCCTAAAATATGGTTGCCATAACCTTGCATGTTGAGATTCGTTGAGCCATAACTTTGCTTGGCTTTGACTCAGGTGACGCTGTGACGCCATTCCATTCACTGATGTTTAGACTCTGAGGTCATGTGAGAAACCCATATCTCGTCCTCTGTGACAATCTTCTTTAAAAATTGATCACCTTCTTTATGAAATCAGTTCAAGAAATCAAAAGCACAAGCCATACTTTTCATTTAGTGTTCCTCAGTAAGCAGCCTGGGAACCCAACGTGCACAAAATTTGTGAAATTGTAACTTTTCAGAGACAATTTTGTGTATTCTACCCACATTCAAAAATTTTAATGCTAAAGTTGAAACTCTGAATTGCCAGCCTTCACAAATCTTTTCATCCATGACATTGGCCAAATCAAATGTGATCGCTGATATATGGCTTGATCGCAATTTATTATGGACATTTTCCTGCCATCCTTGAAAGCTGTTACCCACTTACGCACTTTGGGCCACTCATCGCATTGGGGCCATACACATCACTTTTCTATTGATGAATTTCCATGCTGTCAAAAAATGAGTGACTGTATTAGGCGACTGGATTGATTGTTATAAACATTATGAACTGACACTGTACACAGTGCACTGCAACAGTAGCAATGCAAGTGGTGTTTGTTTGACGAGAAAGGAAGGCCAGGCATCAGTATGCATGCACGTTTCAATGTTTGTACGGCATTTCATTAGCTGAGACGATTTGGATTTTAATTTCTGAATAACCCTCTTAAGAGCAGCTTTTCAATGTGAAATAATGCCAGGGAATGTCAGACGTAAAATGCAGTTCTTAGGTGATCTTAGGTCCCAATCACATTATGCTTTGGCTACGCGGGACTTGACGTCGAAAGGGAAAATTCTAAGAACCCGCACAATTCCAGGAAACCCATGTAGCTAGGTTACCATTCTCACTACTACAATGACATGAATGCCAAACAGTAATCGATTATTGCTCAGATCGGGATCACATGATCCTTCAGAAGCAAAACTTTCATCTGATTGGTTGTCTCTATCCGGGACCCGAGACATTTTCGGTGAGGTTTTCAAAAATCCCACGTAGCCACAACATTTCTTCCATAGCTAGACGGGACTTTGCTTCAGGCGGTGTTCTTTTTTTCTAGGAATCCTCCCGTTTAAACCAGTGCTATCAGAATCTCGTTTCTCAGAGAAGTTCCGTCTAGCAGGGACTGTAGCCATGTGTGATAAGGGTTTTACAGACACAAGAGATAGAATTAGTAGTTGTAAATGAGCTGCAAAAGCAGTGCCAATATGTGAACAAACGAAACTCCTTTGAATACAGGGCTAATGAGAGATGTACACATATCAGACAGTAAGTATTGTACAGTACAAAGTCCGAAATCTGGACTGGTCGGGACTTTGGCGATTCCCATTTGCGATTTTTCAGGATAATAGATCATCAGCTTAAATCTGGTAAGATGGCATGCAGAAATTATACAATTAAAAATACAAAATCGTAATTTATGAAATAAAGAACAATCATGATGTAAAAGATATCAAAATTTACCCCCCCCCCCGGGAAAAAAAAAAAAAGCTTTTTATTTGTTTACTTTATTAAACATTTCCTTCAGTTTAAGCTGCTTTCACAAAAATTCAAAAAGCTTTTTTTTTTTTTTTTTTTTTTTTTTTTTTTTTGTGTGTGTGTGTGTGTGTGTGTGTCATATACAGTGGACTTTACAATGCCATACTCCTCGCATAATTTTGAGATGGATATGCCTTTATCCATTTTTTGCAGCAATTCAACTTTTTGTGTAATGGATATAGAAACATGGTTTCGCTTTGTAGATCCTTTGGCAACTCCAGAATTAAAAACTCTTTTCAACATAATCGAAAGTTTAAGCTTAGTTTTATAAAATTGCAGTAAATAACAGTCTGCAAAAATAATAATAAGCTGGATCAATAGAAGATCAGGGAGCAGTGCAGTCTGTACATTAATTGAAATGCCTTAGAATCAGTAAAGATAATTTTAGCCTTCCTAATGGGCACCTTAACATATTGGCTGTGTATCACAAATTGCGACGAAAACAACGCTAAATTTTGTCTTGCTCCTATTGCCTACTGAATTACGCGAATAGTATTAGTTATTACTATAACTAAGTTATTCTGTACATGCTTCAAACTAATCTGAATAAATAAAACAATACTTAAGGCTTATCTAGGGGCGGCCTACCTGGGAGCAGTCTTATGAGTCCTAAATTCTGCTACAAAGTGCTTTCCTAAGTCTAAATTTCACCGTGCCCTAACTTTGGATCCCAGGCTTTCCCTAAATCATAAAACTTCTCATCCCTTAATTTTGCCGCTCGGTTGCTTCTCCCAATTCCAAAAATTTCGTCTTCCCTAAATTTGCCGTCTGGGTGCCGACATATTCTGCCGCCGCTTCTGGGTTTATGGTGAATTACATATCAGTTATTAATTAAAATAGTAGTAAATGTAATCTTTTAGCCTATGATTTTATTAACAGAATCTTTGTTAGCATATGAAAGAAATTTTTATTGAATTTTTCTCGTTAACATTTCTTGAGGATTTAAAATTCTATAATCATTGCCAAGCGTTGTTAGATAAAAGGTGCCATATTCTGTTATCAATTACTATATAAAAATAGTTTAGACATCACAGCATGAGTTATTACTGAAGCTATGGCAGCTTCAGTATTGATAAACATGCGGTGATGAAAGCAAAATATGATAAATAATGACTCGCCAGGTCGGCGTCAGGAATATAAAATAGATGGTTTGAGATGTATGCTAAGAAGATACTCAGCTATGCAGCCAAATTATTAATCTCACAAATTTATGCTTACATGATTGTTTTTCCATAACGAGGTATTTATTTAGTGCCTAAGTGAAATTAAGAATCGGAATTTTTAAGTGAAACTCCATTTTTTATTATGGAAGGAAAATTAAAAGCGCTGCATAAAGCATTATAAAAAATTTAAAAAAAAATGTTTGTGACTTTGAGGTCCGGATTATAGATCATTCTTGATAATGGACGTCTGGATTATGGACTGTATATTGAAAATAAAATTTAAGAATATTGTTAAGTCTGGTAAATAATCTTAATAGAGGAAACATAAAATTCATAAATGTGTGAAAACACTATTAATATCTATATTCTGCCTTTAAAATCTACTTTAAATAAAATCTACCTTAAAAAATGTCAAATGTGCCTTGACCTTTT